TCTTCTGGTGGTACATCCTCTGAACAGAGGCTCACATACACAAATTTGGGGACTGAGTCCAATTACCAAGAGAGTCCATCAGATTTTATATTTATGCACACAAGTAAAAGTGAGTTTTTCTCAGTTCTCACTGCAATTAGTGACTGCTGTCAGATCCACACTTGTAAAAATCAGGGTATTTTTAAGTGTCTGAACAGAAAGACTGGTAACCCAAGTAAAAATTGTGGCTCATGTAACTTACTTTCTAACTGTATAAGCCAGTTTTGAGAGTGAGCTCATTAAATTACTTAAATCTACAACATCCCCATTTATGCAGTCCTTATTTAGTCATTTGTGTGATTTTTTTACACTTGTGCTAAATGAAATCATTTTAGTGTTTCACTTCTTTTCTTACAACCCTCTGGAGTGTGGCATAGCACCCTGCCTCAGTAAAATTACATCAGTGTGTTTAAAATCAGTGTAAATAGAACAAATTATATGTACCTGCCAGGTTCAGTGTAGGTAGCATAAAAACTTTTTGTTACCTTCATAGAATGAAGTAATATTCATGTCCCTGAACATGAGATCTGTAAGACAAACTTCCTTCCCGTAATAAAATGTCACCCTGTACCTTCATGGTAGAAAAGGAAACTTCAATCTCTGCTTTCTGATTATCATAGTCTAGCAATTAGGATTAATTTTATGCCTGTAAAAGCAAACGGATTAGGAGAAGAGTTTTAGTCACTACCTGTAGTCCATGGCTTCATGGTCCTGGAGTATTTTGACCACTCAGTCTTTGGGAGGGCAAGGGGAAGGTGTTAAGCTCTCAAACTGAATGTTTGCATGTTTTTTACCCGCTTGCTTTTCAAACCTAAGTAATTAGCAGGGACCTAAGTAACAATATTTCCAAATAACTCCTTGTGAACAGTCTTCTGTTTCCAGAATCTCTGTACAGTTGCATAGTCCCACAAACTTTCTTTCCCATGCTATATACTGAACATTCTTAGTAGATTTCTGTATGACAGCAAATAATAAATCCTATGTGTAACAAATGCTGAGTCATTGTACTTCATTGGATTTGTGGACTGCTGCCCTTAATTTTTATTTCTGTTCTGTAAACTACAAAAAAATCTGTTTAGTGCACATTCACTCCTGCTTTTTCTCCTCTAAAAGGAAAAAACTACTTTTTCTTGTATCATATCATTGGAAAACAAGCCAGGATGTCTGTGAAGATGAACACTTCTCATATAAAAATCTACAGCAAAAAGTGGTACCTATGTAACTGCCCTACAAAATCAAAAAGTGGTGCTGATTTAGAACATATGGGATGTGGCCCAGGACAGCACAAACACTAATTTGATTAACGATTTTGCCTTGTCATATATCAGTTATTCATCCAAATGCTTCAGCCATTACCTTCATCATATGGGAATTCTAATCTCAAGATCCTTGTATTCCTGCCTAAATGGGGTTCTCTGCTCTGCTCCCTGGAGTTACTTGATACACTGCCGGACACAGCCCTATTCTTTCTCTCTTTTGCAGCTTCACCTCTATGTGGAATGCACTGTGGAACTATGTGGAAAAGGAATGCTTTTGAGATTGAAAGCCAAGACTAGCAAAACATCAGAAACTGGCAAAGTAGAGATTACTCTAAGCAGTAACATAAATTTAGCTCATACTCCCAGCTAGCACAGCATCCCTCAAGGTCACTTTTTGGAAGGGAAATTACTGGGGCAAAAATGCTGTGAAAAATAGGCAGCTCAGAAAAACCATCTTCTTTGAGGCCAGGCTCCGTTTCATTTGCATTCTGACATTAGGCTCATAAAAGAGAAAGCCAAGTGAGAGTCAGACTCAAATGGCATTTGCAAAACACACTGCTACCAGAATTGTTCCTTGAGCAGTTTCTTTCTGGAGGGCTCAGCATGTCCCTTAGCATAAAACTTGGGACCAGGCAAGTGCTAGGCTGGGGTGGCTCTTACGAAGGAGGCAGTAGGTCGGTTCCCCTCAGAACTTCCATAAAGAGTCTTGGTTTTATTTCAAATGCGAACTACTGTCAAATGTAATGACAGGCAGAAATATATTAAGTCCCCTTAATAATAAGTTATTATATATAAAGATGCACAGAATTTACACCAGTTAAAATATAACAACTGGACAGGAAGCAGATTCTTTGATGTTAACATTTTGGCTTCCCTTGTTGTTCCACTCTTATCTATCATTGTACTTTGACACCTCTCAAGTAGGTATTTTGAGGTGGAGGATTGTCCAACTTCACTTATTATAACTGGTGATCAGGGGAAAGGTGTATGCTGGTATCCCAGGAGCCTAAATCCAGTGTTTAAATTTCTCTGTAATGTATTTTTTTTATGTAACAATTTTTCCATTAAGTACCATACATTACTAACAGTATTACACCGAAGGAAACAAACATTTACTCACCTGTTAATTACACTTTGAAACGCCTTTTTATTCAGTTCTGTTTCCTCCCATTATTTTTTCTGCATCTTAATTACAAGAAGTAGATTTAGATTTAATACAAGGAAGAAGTTCTTCCCTGTGAGGGTGCTGAGGTGCTGGCACAGGGTGCCCAGAGAAGCTGTGGCTGCCCCATCCCTGGCAGCGTTTAAGGCCAGGTTGGATGGGGCTTGGTCTAGTGGAAGGTGTCTTTGCCCATAGCAGGGGGTTGGAACTGGACAAGCTTTAAGGTCCCTTTCCACCCGAACCAGTCTGTGATGTACTATGAATTGCTTTAATTCAATTAATGAATATACATACTAGGCATATTCCAAAATACGAATTCAAATACACTACAGTGTTACAAATCAAATATAACTACTACAAAACAGTTCCTTCCTACTCTCTACCCCTGGGGTTTTTCTAGTAATGAAAACACAAATTCATTCATAATGTGCATGAATTCAAACTCCACATCTGCTGGATCGCCAAGCCTCATCATAAAACTGCCTTATTATTTTATAACTGTATTTTATAATAACTCCTGATGTTCTTAAGGCCATCATTTTTGTATGCAGTCAGTGCACGTGGCTCCACTGTGTTACAGGAAACAGCTTCACAGTTTGTTGGTCCTGCCACCGCTCTCCAGAACACTGCAGTCAGATGCCTCATACATCTGTTGTTTTCCTTTAATTTGGTGACATTCATCATCATATTCTACAGAAATTTAAAAGTTCATTACTAGAAATATTTGACTTCCTATCAAAAGTAGCATGCCATTTCCATACCTTTGCAGTGAGGGGCAGCTAACTTGGGTGCATTTGACCAACAGAAGTAGGAAATCGGATGAAAATCTGCTTCCTGACTGAAACAAAGAGAGTAAAATTTAAATCTGTAATTATTTCAGAGCAAGACAGACAAGTTGTTATTTAAATGCATCTTTTTAAATACAGTCACTTTCTTCTATTTTAAAAAAGAAAAACTTTTTACTACAGTCTGTATTTTCATTAAAAAACCCATTAGTTTCAATAGACAAGCATTAGTGTAGATTCACATACTGGCTGAAGAGCAGAACTGTTAAATCAGTGCTCTTTTCCAGTACTATTAATGACTCTGCACTCTAGTCCTTTACCATGCAAAAGAAGTACTGTTTCCTCTTAAAAGAGGCTCCAACATTTTAAGTATTTCACTGTGCTTTTTCCTTGCTTTCACATTTTTATACTGTGTAACTTGTATATTCAGGGTATCACAGAAAGTAACATGGAATATTCTTCCTCAGAAACAGCTGCAGAATTAGCTGTCCATGAAAACCTTCCCTCAAGATTTTCTCCTATGCAAAAGTAGACATTACTTTGTAACTCCTCCCTATTCTGCCTGGTAGGCTTCCACATCCTTGTCCTTCAAATCCTTTTTATCACCTAAAAATATCACAGAACCCTTGTACAGCGGTAATCTCCATGACAACAACCAGATTATGGCAGACTATAAAGGAAGTACTTACAAGGTAGCCGCATTTCCAGAACATACCAGGGGCGGCCATTTCCTGTACACGGCAGGGGATAGCAGAGCAGTACTCAGGCGTCAAGGAAACACAACTGGCTTCAGTGCTTCCTCACTTTCCACCGAGCCTGCAGTTACCTTCTTGGCAGTAAATTATAGGCGCTTCATAAGGTAATCCGGAGCTTTTGTCTGCCATCTCCTCACACCTCAAACTGAGGCGAGCTTGGCTTCAGCTACTGCAAGCGCCCGATAAGGAGCAACCGCAGTTCTTCCTGAGGGCTGAGGGAAGGAGCGCAGTCTCGCAGATGTCCGACTGCTGGTTCTAATGAGGCTGAACTCGCACCGCATGCCCCGATACCCATCTTACTGCAGCATGCTCCAGGTCTGCCAGTAAAGCAAGAAGCACGAACCGGGCCGTGCCTGCCCATTGCTGCCTGTCACCGCCAGGGCTCCCGCCGCCCTTCTCTTTTGGGAGGTGGATGTGGGGATTTTGTTGTAGCGCCTTACAGGCTTTTAAAACGAGGGGAAACATGATTACAGCTTAAGTTGGGCATTGACTGGCACAGAGGCTTTGTGGAAGCCAGGTCTCACGCCAGCAGCAGGCGCCCCAGGGGTACGAGGCCTGGCGCAGCGTCCATGCTGGCTGAGGTCTCGCCAGAGAGCTTTAGCGTCCCCAGCTGCCCCCACACGAGCCTCGCTGAACTATGGCCTGCTGAGGTAGAGTGAAAGACGAATGTACATGTAAAGAGCAATTGCCCACTCCTGTAACATGGTGGGGCTGGAGGCCTGGGGCAGGCTTCCCAAAAGTGTTGGCATGTAAACGGTGCACAGTGCAAACAGTCCAGGGTGCTTTTAGGAATATATTTTTGAAGTCACTTATTCATTATGGTGCTCTCCCTGTTAGTTCTTACACAGGAAGCCCTCTCAGATACAGATTCTTTAAAGCTATTTTGGTATCTGATTGCCATCTTAGTTTATTTCAGTGGTAGTGGTAACCTATATACATTTTGTACAGTTTTGGGGTTCAGTCAAATCTTCTACTAGATCTGTGTGCCTTAAACATTTCACCTCTTTAACTGGCAGGTAATATTTGTTATCTTTCTTTTCCCAAGCTTTTCAGAAGGTAGAACCTGAGATTTCACTGCAAAGCCACAAAATCCTAGGAAAAAATGGCAGAAACCAGTGGGCAGGAACAGTCAAGATGGATAACAACAGTCATTATGAGTACATCTCTCCAGGTACAGTGCTACTTCTCAAGAGCAGCATCTGATTCACAAAGAAGTGCTGAAAGAAGCATTTTCTATATTCTAGATGGGAAAATCTTGTATGCAATGTGAATCAGTCTAGTTTTTTGAGGATCAAGCAGTAATATTAACCTGACGTTGCTTCTACTGTAGTGCTGGTTCTTTGTGGGTGTTGATTTTCTCCTCACTGCTTCTCTATCTATTTAGTATTCTTGCCACCTGCTATTCTGAGTTTCACTGCTTTAGGATTGTCCTCCTGACTCATCATTTCTACACTGCACTGATGCTCCTTTCAATTAGCACTGTAAATAATTCCCATCGGAATGGTTTTATTTCTCTGAATTTCTCCCTAGACATTTTATTTTCTACTACATACTATCAACATTGAGGTACACTATTAAGAAGTGTGCATTTCAGTTTAAAATAGAGTTACAGCTAGTGATGTGTATTTGTATCTATTAACATCAGAAGCCAAGACTGTGTTCCCCAGTAAAGTGAAAGGATATGTCAAGGAGCTAGTAATTAGTTTCTGCAGCTAATGCCAATTTCATGTCAGCTGGCTGGAATTTAGAGGCATGAGGGCTTTGATTCACCAGGAAGGTTATCTTCCGGTTGGTTGACAAGGTTATCATCTCATTTCTTGCTGTATAAATGAGTGAATGGTTCTGAAGTTATTCCTGAACCTCCTCAGTTTAAAGCCTGTCCTTACTTGTCTGCTTGTCTCAAAATGGCAGCCTGTAAACTATTCCAGATTGGGAACTGCTTCAAGAGCAGCTTAATCCATAATACAGTGACAGGTATTGGAGAGCAGTGACCTCATCAGATATACCAGCAAAACTCATTCCTGAGAGCCCCAGCTCTAGTAGAAACTACAGCTGTCAGTAAGGTCTCCCTGTGAGGAAAGATGTGGAAACAGCTGAATACAAAGCTAAGATGGCTTTTTGTTTACAAAGTAGTGCTTTGTACCAGTTTTGGTTACGAGCTTTCTCTTTCCCCTCTGCAGCTATACTTCTCTTATAGCTGTTACTTGTATTTGTGCATTAAAGAATTCACTGTCAACAGTGGCTTAGAAGCAGAGAGTTTTTCCAAAATTGTAGTTATAGCTCATAAGCAGGTGTCATTGTTTGTTCCCTTTCCAGACCAATTGAAAGCACAGCATTCCTGGTTACTGTCTCCTGCAGGGTTCACCTGCTATCCTGACTTTATTTTGTACTCTACCACTAAACCATGACACTTCCCCACATAGGCAGGTTGCCTATGTTTTAACTGGGTGGGTTAAAGAACATGATACTAGCTAAAAAAAGGGTTCAATGATTTCACCTTTCAAATGTGTTTGAACAGCTTCTCTAGAACATACCACAGAAATGGTTTCTGCAGGCTGTAAAATACATTCAAGCCCACTCCATTCTGTAGATGATTATGTCGCATAGTGCAATGTTCCAGTTTGCCTATCAAAAGGCTTTAAAGAAAATCATGTCCCATACAGATTTTCTGAACTATCTTCCAAATGAAATGCTGACATCTGTGGAAATAATGCAGGCTAATTAATTGAAGTCATGGAAACACACTACTGCATGTTCCTCACTGCTGCAAATCCTCCTTTAGCACATCTCACAAAAATAAACTGTAAAATGCTTCAGCTTCTTTATGTATTATGCGAAAGTTTCCCGAGGCAAACTGAATGTGTGCATCCAAAACTGCCTTTCAGTGTTTGATAACCTCCAATGCAAACAATTCAGAATTTCATTAACTGAACCAGTTTAATTAACATTTTACTGCCTTTTTATTGCTAGTGGAATGAAAAATATTTTTTAACCCACAGTGCTCAAGTTCTATCTCTAATGGTTCAGACAGGGCTTTAAGAATATTTCTACCAAGCTTGTTGGCTGAAAACGTATTTTAAAAATAACCTTTTGAAATTTATTTAGAATCATGAAATTTCTACAGTTCTACAGAGGCAACAGCACCGTGTTCGATACTCAGATTCGGTGGAACCTGGATCCGTGATTTTTTCTCTTTCTGGTACAGTACTTTGAGTTTATGCTTTTAAACTCATTAACTCCAATGACGTGCAAGATCAGGCACTGCTGTAGGCTACACTGAACTGAATAAAAACTGCCGTATTGGAATGTCATGCTAGTAGTGGAAGGAGCTGTGGTATGGTTAGATGTAAATCATGGGAGGGGGCAGAGAACTTTGGGGATGAAACGTTTTGTACTTTTTTTGGACATTTTGTATAGCATTACATCACTTCATTAGATTTGGTGATCATCAGCTGAGCTGTTCAGTAAATTCTTGCTATAATTGAGCAAGCACATTGAGTGCCACTAACATATAAGATAGCTGTCAGGATCTTTCGCGTTCCTGGCTGTAAACACAAGAGTGAATCAAGATACTAAGCTTTCATCCTCCAAGTTGAGTTTGCAAACCTGGTGGTAGCAGAGGAGTTAGGGAAAAGATCCTGTAAGAAGTTTTGATTAGGAAATTGCTGAACCTGCAAACATGAAATACCTATCCTTCCCTTTTAGAGCAGAAGATGCTTTAAACAGGTAGACAAGATCCTTTATCCTCCTGAACTATAAGGACTAACAAGGCAAACATTGGCTTAGACTTCTTTAGCCTCAATTGTTAAGCCTCCTAAACCTCAGCCTTTTTAATTTTTCATTTCAGAATAATTTACTTAACAGGGTTATAGTTTAATTTTTCATGATACACAGTTTAGGTGACTTTCAAGATGTTTATCTCATTTAGAAATTGGACTTGCTGAGCTATTCAATCAATCTTTGCATTTGCCCTAAACTCATTCTATTGCGGCAGTTACTTTCAAAGGCATTCAGAGTCTGCACTTTGAGTGTATTGAACAGTTGGGGATTGTTTGATGTTTTGGTAGAAAATAACCTCTGAATTACTTGTAGTTTTATCTTCAAATTAGTAGTCATCACTGGCCAAATCTCCTGACTGCATTTCAGTGTCAAGGTGCATAAATTCATCTGTGTGCTTTGTTCCATTGCCTTTTAAACTACTGTTCGAGTAAGAATTCTGCTTCCTGGTTTGTGATGAGAACCTCACACTGCTGCCATGACATGTACGTTTACATCACTTTCTTCAATAGGTGTTGCATTTATGCTGTCAGACACTCAAGACCTGTGTATGACAGGGGAAGAAGAGTTTTCTCAACGAATTCAGAAGTTCATGAGCATTCACCGGAACAGTTTTCTGGTTTTGTCAGCTGCTCTTCATGGCCCAGAAGAATGGAATGTTATGTTGACGATTCAGAAAAGGTATGATTTCAACATCAAACCAAGCTTTTTCTTGCTACGAAGAAATGAAGTAGCAGTCCTAGATTCAGGATGATTGTTTTAGGAATTATTTTCAAAATTATTATTTTTGTTTTGCTAATGCACTGGAAAATTATTTAAGGTATATGTTTAATAATGGCAAATGAACGCCAAGTGAATCAATCTGACATGTCATAGGTAACAGAAGGGGAAGTTCCTCAAAACATAGCCCTAAAGTGATTGAAAGGGATGTTATTTGCTATGTAATAGAATTCTTTCTAAGGTTTTCTCTTGAACTGGAAAATCAGGCAATTTTCTTGGCTCTGGCAGCATCTTTTCATAGTCATTTTCAAAATGGAACAGGCAACGTTCCTACCTGAGAAGAGGCTTTATTGTAAAGTACAGATTCTTCACCAGCTTTTAAAATCTGTTTACTTGGAACAGTGTCTCTTATACAGTCCTGGAGCAATTGAAATAATCAGTGTTATTTTAAAGCAAAAGTACAAACCTGGTTTGTTTAAAATGGTATCTGTGATTTAAAATGAAGCCTGAAAACATGCATGTTTCAGCATATACCTTGCTGACAACACTTACCCAATTGTGCTCCATATTCGCTGTCAAAACTGTTTCCTGGTAGGTACAGTACTCCTAACTGCAGTTGATTTTTCGCTCTTGACATCAAAGAAATGACTATTCTAATGGCTTCTTTGATCTTTACCTCCTGGAAGCTAGCACCAGTTCCATTAAATCCTGGGCACGGTCCCAGATGCTGATGAGCAGCACAGTGTGCAGGATGAAATGCAGGAAATCTATTACCCACTTGTGAAAATTCCATACATTTTCATGAGAGCTCTCAAAAGCTCTGCCACCATTCAGCAAGAACATGTTATTCAGCTGATGGCAATGCTAATTCTGAATCTACTTCATTGTGTACGCAGATTTTGTGCATGTGTCGATTAATAACAACTGTGGTGCTCTGAAGCCATATTCCAGTTGGCAAGTCAGTCATTTTATTAAAATAAAAATAACACTTTTGCCATTGCAGGCCATAACCAAATTGATGTTGACAAGGCACAAGTATATTATGATGCAGGTACTTTTTTACTACCTGGCAGCTTGGAGTTCTGCTATTGTATGTAAATTACTGACAGAGCTTTTGCATTGCTGGGATTCAAACCTGTGCCATGTTCTCTTGAATCACCAGTCACCTGTTGGATTTGTTAAAAACGAAGTACCTGGTATTCTCAGGTCTTCCTGAATTATTGTTTCTTTCTGCTTATCTATGGTTTTGTTGCAGCTGGGAAGGGATTTTTTATTATTATTAACAAGAACATTATGGGATTGTTGCTCAACAACATGAACACTTGATGCGGATTCTGCATATCGGGGGGAAGTGGGAGAAAAGCTATTTTTATCATCACAGCTCCAATGAGCATCCCACTAGGAGCCTCAGTAAATCTGAATGTTAAATTTTAAACACCGTGGAGCAAAGACCAGCCATGTGTTCTAACAGACAGTATTCTGCATGGTGATCAGGTTAATAAAATTCAGACTAAATTTAGACCCACTGTTACTGGAAGCAAAACTACTGATAGAAATGGATTTTCATGGCTCTAGGTAAGTACACATCACTGTTTCCTTGTTCTACTTTGTTCATTCATACTTTGCTTAGTCTATTGCTATTACTAGCAAAGCTGCATGTATTTATTTCTCTAATCCCTAAACGTAAATCAAACCGCAGTTTCTGCATGAGATTGTAGCAGGACTCAACAGTGACCCAAGTACCTCCTCTTAGGGAAGGACACTGCTTGTAACATTTATTTTTGCTAATTAGAAGAATGGGCAGCCAAGTTCAGCCCAGCTATCTACCCAGCATGGGTCCTAATGTGATTGAGTCCAAATCATCGAGCAGACTGAGGGGTAGAGCAGGTGGCAGTCACAAGGGGAGAAGACAGGGGAATACAACTGAGCAGCTGGGCACTTCCTTTGGATTGATTTTGTTTATCTAAAATTCCTCCTTTTCTATGGTTAAGCCCCTCTGATATTTTAGCTCTACACCAGCAAACAGCAGCAATGCTCACTTTGGTGTCGTTGCTACAACACACTTAAGATACAAGTCTTAAGGAATGAATCTGTGCTTGCCTAATCTTTGATCTCGTTCTCTCCCCCATGACTGCACTGAATGACACGCTAGGATTTTAAATCTGCAGATTTCATCCTCCAGGATAAATGCATATGAATAATGTTATTTATAGAATGAATTTTGGGTTAAATTATTTGAATGAGCAAGTCCTTACAATAAATTCTTAGCGGAATTATCCCATTATCTTAATCGCAGCTGATGTGTAGGTTGCTATAATTAGATACTACACTAAAAAGATTTAGTTCAGATACTTCAAATGATGTATTTTTAGCACAGTTGTTTTTAGATATTTTCCTGTGTTTTTCCAAAGCCATTAAAAAAAAAACCTGAATATTTTTTCCTGGCACTGAAAATGGACAGTCTTCAATACAGCAGGAGAGGGGCCAGCTCTCTCTGAATGTACACATGCTTAAGAAGCGTTGACATATTACAGCCCTAGAAGAAATAAGCCCTTCCAGATCCCACCTAAACAAGTGGGACAGAAATGGGACAGATGGCTATACAAACCACAGGAACTCTACAGTGGCCTTTAATGATAAAGGCAATGTTCATTGTACTTGTGAAGGCACAGCAAGAAGTTGTTTCCATCATGTGGGAATGCTTTTTTAGTTTTGTGGCATAATAAATTAAATGTGCTTCTAAAAGTAACCTTAATTTATTTTCATGTTTAGATTCCTGGGCAGTAATTTACGTATAATACCAGTTCATAACAGTGCTGAAACTGTTAAGTTAATGCTAACTATAGCTAAGGTAAGTCTGGCTGCATATTCTCAAAACTATTAGTTCTTCAGAATTATCCAGGAAAAGCCAAGAACTATAAAAATACTTATTTTTCCCTAAATGGAGCATTTTGGTTCATATTGACTACAATCCATTAAATACATGGAGGTAGGACCAGCACTGTGATACTTTAACAATAAAGACTCAGCTAAAGGCAATTTAAAAAGCTCTAAATAGCATCTATGAAGACAAACTAGATATTTAAGAGTTAACTTGGCTTTTCCTTACCACTGTTAAGTTAGGATGTCTTCATTTATTAGTACAGAACCAGCATAAGATCTAAATATGCAATGACTTGAAGTAAAAATGACAATCTGAAGACTCTAGTTACCTGTGGACTTCGATGATGCACATACTATTATATTATTCCTACAGCTTAATGAGTGTAATTTGTCTGTGTATCTGCAACATAGCCTATATGCACAACACACAATTAAACCTGTTTACTGAACATCTTTAAAGAACATGAAGATTTTAATTTAGATACTCACTGTAACCAGTCCTAGCAGCATCCCCTGTACTAAAAATAAAAAGAGCAGGCTGAAAGACATGCTAGGAATCAACTATGAATTTACATTTTATCCTTTCCTTAAGTAGGCATCTCAAAATGAAATTGCAAATTATTAAATACTTATTACAAATTTGAACACCGTACTTAAAATTTTTTATGGTATCTACTGATGTCTGTCCCAGACTCTTAATACAGTATTAACCTAAAAGCTTTTAAGATTACTGTTGATCCTATAAACTTGAATTTGCTTTCCTACTTGTTCAGGATGTTTACACCAAACTCCCATAGGAGACCCCCATGAAGAGTGATAATAGCACATACCACAAATCTATTGGTTGCTGTTACATTATTTCTTAACTAGTACAGTGCAGAGCTAGTTTAATGAGCTCTTCTTTTGCAACAGAATCCTTAACTGGTATAGGGCCTAAAAAAGAACTTCTGGCCTTGGTACTGGCCAAGAGAGCAATACCATCCAACTAATCCTGAGCTACCTACCCAACTCCTGTTAAAATACTATCCAGATAATTAGATGTAGTGCTGACAGGACTGGTTATGTTAAGACTGGTCTTGCACCTGAGGCGATACACCAGATCACCTCTGTGTATATCATTCCTGAATATCCATTTCAGAAAACAGGCTTCAGATTTCAGTGCTGAGTAATTTTACATCTGTTCTATTTGAAAAATAAGATGTTGAATATTCTATTACCTAAGAGTTACTGTGTCCTACTAATAATATTATTCTTTTCTCCAAGATAACTTCCAAGCCACAAGCAAATGATATTCGTTACAAAATGGCAACGACAAAAGCCCAAATCATAGAAAACAGTCCAGTTTGGAAGATGCTTCAGGAGTACCAGCTGCAGTGGAATTGATTTAGCATTTGAGGGTTTTATTCATAAACAGTGGCTACATTTTACACAAAATATAGAATGTTCTTAAAAATATAGTGACATTTCAGAAGACTGTATATACAACTTATGCAGTTGGAATGAAAAATTATATTAAATAACTATACAGTGAAAAATAGCATACTTTATACCAAATGGGCATTGTATAGGAAAAAAAAAGTGGTTTAACTGCACTATAGAAAAGCCATCCTTATTTTTAACTTGATTCTGAACCTATATAACACATGTATGTATGAAACCTTATGCAATGTGTTTTTGTAAACACAAGTGTTACCTCGTTTGCTACTAAGTTTTAACATGTCATTTGGCTCAAAGTTGATGTTTTTCTTTAAAACTAGTTTTCCTCATTTAAACCTGGTTTTCCTCACCATAATGTTTCTACTATTATCTATGTGAATCTTAGAGTCCTGGTTTAATATTGGCATATAAACTTTCATATTTACAAAGTGTTAATAAAAATACCTTGTGCTTAAGCAGTGCTTTTTAATTAATGCTTCTCCAGTCACTTTATAAAAACCTTTGTAATTCATTCACAACACCATTCAGCAACTATTATCTAACAAATTCTGAAAATGAACAGAAAAATAAATGCACAACCATTATCTCCTTGCCATGACAAAAGAACAAAAAAAAACCCCTCAGCTTTCATTTCTAAACTTCAGAAAAAGCATCAGTTTCTGGCAAGGAGTGCTTGAGAAAATAGGCCATCTCTGTGAAACCCATATAACAATAGCAAAATAAAATAAAAAAGAATGAAGACTTATGAAGAGCAGCATTTGCAGTTCTTCTAGAGGCTACTCTAAACTGCTGTTCTTTAAAGGTTGGTACCTACTTTTCAGCTAAAGTCTCACAGTCAAAATGATCTTCTAAAGAAGTATATTAATTCAAATACTTCACCTGACCTAACTATTTTCATCCATTACAGCTTTTGTTTTCACTTCAATAAGTTCTTCTACTCGAGCCAGAACACTTTCTATTAAATCAAAAGTGAAGAGAGCGGAGTGTAAAACCTGAAATGACAAAAGAGGTTATTTTTATTAGAATAATTTTTTTCTCACTGTATCTGTATGTTTGTCTCCAGATGCAAAAAAAACCCAAACCTTCAGTACTTCTGAATGACTTCAAAGGAAATGGAAACTCACCTGTAGCTGCATTTCAGTAGTCATGGCAGGCATCTTTTCCCCACCAACAGTTACAGAACAAACTGTGTTAGGACTCTGTGTCTCTGTAAAAGAGAAAAGGCAACCAGAGCTCAGGCTGCTGTTTCACGTAACTTTGAGAATGGAAATAATGTTTAATATATTAGCATTTCTAGACAGTAATTGTTAAAACCCACAAACATAGGGATTGACCAGAGTACAGAAGGTGCTGAACTTCAAGAGGAAGACAGTTTGAGCTGGATGCTACCTCTATGCTTGCCATAACATACAACTACATTACTAAACAGGCAGTATCTGCAACTCAATTACGTACAGCAAAAATGGTCTTTTAAAGGAAAAAGAACTCTTAAATCTGGTCAGTTTTTGATAAATTCTTAATATTTCAACATCCAGAGAGATAGTGGAAGGTTCTTTAGCTTGACTTGATGAATCCAGACATGAAATACTTATTAACAAAAGGCTGCAGGCTTCTCTGTTTCAGGCAGACTACTTGCAGCAGGCAAAACTACAAGGACAAAGCTGAAAACTAAGGGGAAAACCTCTTACATTCAGACCACATATTTGAAATTCAACATAATGCTTACAAAGATTATACATTGGGGAAAAAGGCTAAACCAATTACTGCTACGAGTTAGATGTTCTCTCCCAAACTCAAATCTCTTTATGTTTTGTCAAAGGCTAGATAAACATAAAAGGGACTTAAAGAAAAAGCTTCCTAATTCATTTTAAAGTATTTCCTTTACAAAGATACCCACAGGTTGCCTTCAGAAAAATTCCCCTTCTGTGCCTCATACTTATTTAGTTAACAACAACAGAAGAGGATAAGACTCGGGGCAAAAAGCTTTACTGACATCTTTGGTAGCAAAAGCAAGAAGTTCCTTGGGCTGTCTTAGTTATACTGGAGATCACAAAGGAAGAGAGGATCTGACATACACAGAGATTGCCTAAAGCAGCTACAGCTCTTACATTCTGTGGAATGTGTCTGTTTAACCCAGAACAGAACCTGATTCTGCATGTCAGATTTTAAATATATATATAAATGTGTGTGTGTGTATACATATATGTATATATATAAATATATATACATATATATTTATGTGTATGTATATATACACATATATGTATATATATATAAAAATCCCTGTGTAATTCTTCAGGCTTTAAGAGAGCACCTATTTGCTGTGTGAATTACTTCTTTTCTTGTTCACCTCCCCATACCTGCTATGAAACTTAAGGGCTATATTTTCAGAGACACTTAGATGTCAAACCTTAAAAATCAAAAGTATAAATGCAGAACAAGCTTTGAAGGTGTCCTGATGCAACATTTCTGTCAGGTTTCCGTTAAGTGATGAGAGATAAGTTCTGATATTTCTGACCAATTATGAAAATTATTTATATTAAATGTAGCAACTACTGAAATATTATTTGAAATTTTGAATACTGTCAACAGTGGTATAAAACATGATCTATACAGCACTCACCAATTCTTTGTTTCCAAGGGACTTCCATAGTTTGTAAATACAAACACAGCTAAGACAAAAAAGAAACCGACTAACCTTTTTTGTTCTCTTTCTTATTCTTTATTTCTGCTTCATAGTGTGCTTTTGACATATTGAGTCCTACATGCAGTGGCTTTAAAAAATTTTGCTCAACCCTGGGAATCATGGTCCATACTCCAGTCTATCCAAAGAGAGCAGAGAAGGTTACAAATTAGTTTTAAGGAAGCACTGCAGTGCTAAGTTTTTAAGCACAAGGCTTTAGACAAGACTTTGTAACACACACTTCTGTGCTGGGAATAAAAAAGGGAGAAAAAATGTAGACTAATGAATTTAAGCATGAAGAGAATCATGATGGTTATTTAAGCTTCTCTCACATTATCTGTTGAAAATTAGAGGATAAAGCAGTCAAAAAACACATGGGGAGTGAAACTTGGTACGTAGGCTGATAACTACAGCAGTGGAAACACGCGTTTTTAACTTGGTCTTGTAAGCAAAACTGAAGGGATCTGGAGAGGTTGGAAGGGAGCTACTAGCCGCTTTCTTAGGCTAGAATCTCTACAGGGAGTAGAGAGCAGTTGTAGATTCCTCTAAGAGAATTCAGCAGCAAAATACAATAAATGCTTAAATTCATGTTCCTGAATTAACACTGTATTGTGATGCCAAGTGAAAGTTCTGATAAATGTCGAGCTCCCCAAATACATAATGGTATTATCTATATTGCATTCAATTTAAAAAGCTTTATAGGAATGTTCCTGGATATGCTACTACCCCATATCCTTAGGCACAGAAACCAAAGCAACCATGAACTTCTCCCCAGTTTGGCATGGGTGAAGGGGGAGGTTTACAATAATGGCATTCAGGCGCAAGACGTACCAGGAAAAGATGCTTAAAAGCAATACTGTTCAAGGTTACACAACACAAGAGGAACACTTCTCTGCCTTGGCACCTTATCAGCTTATAGTTACAAAAATGCAAGAAGGAAACAAGTACAAAGCAGTCTTTGTGCCTCTCGATATAGGAGCCATTTATATGGATCCTTTCTTCAGGCAATATCCTCAAAGGGCAGAGTAAGGTCAATAAAAATAAGAATTACTACATAGTATTGTTGATTACAGTGGAAAATTCACTACATTTTAATGCTAAACAACACAAAGTTAGGCTGGTCAAACAAGAAAACTGGTAACAACTTCCACCAGAATGGGGCTAAGAATGAAGAAGTAACTTTGAAGAAAAACACTGACTTTTACTTTATTAATGAAAGTACTTGTTACCCACCAATCAAAACCTCTGAACTGACAGAAAAGGAGGCATTTTCTTCCTGCCCCACTTGCACTATATGAAGGGAGACAGGGAGGAAGTAAAAAAGAACTGGCAGCACTTAAATGTAAGGGAAAACTTAAGAAGAGGTGATGCCCTTTTCTCCTCAAACTATAGGGACATTGTATGCCAGGCACTGTTACAGCAACTGTGTGCGACAATATTTGAGATTTTAATAATAATAAAGAGGAATTCTCTCTTTTCTGACGAAGCTATGCATTTACATGAAACGGATGGACTATACTGAGCACTTAAATAGTGATCACTCCTTAAATATGATGAACAGATATAGTCTAACAATAATAACTATATAAATAGTAGATTAGAAACACACCAACTGCTATTAATTTTCACTACAGTTTTGGATATCAGTGCAAGCTGTATTATTATTCTACTTAGAATAAAGTCATTAGGCACTTAAAAAACTTGTGTTCGTGGATCTCAAAGTGCTCTAAAAGCAGACTATAGATTTTTTTCTGTATTTTAGAAAACAGAAAATGATCTGCTGAAATCCATTACTCCAAATCATAAAGAAAGTCAAGGAACTGGGGGAGAACAACAAAACACCTTAGGATACTTAACTGCTGGTTAGGATATTAATCTGACCATGATTTTGCTTATTCAAGTCAAGAAAGGTTTTACTGTACTTTAAAACTGAAAAGCAATTTTTCTTTAAACTGTCACTAATTGAAACAACTATTTCAATGCAAAAAAATCAAAACATTAATACTAAGGAGCTAGGTGATAACTGTTCACTACATGATGTACTAGATTAAAAGCTCCTGAATCACATAAATTAGAGGAATAGTGGAATACAATGATTTGAAAGAGTCAACAGAAGTTGCATTTAAGATTAGAAGTAGAAGCCACTTAGTGGTGGAATGTAATCAGGAAGCCAAACACAATTTAATTGGCTCTTCAATGCTGTAGCGACACAATCCCAAGTAAGTGCACTTATAAATCAGCTGCTAGAATATGGAATCCATATATCGACCCAGTTGTGAAATTAAAACAAGTTTCCCCTTGAGTATCCAGGAACACATTTCCATCAGCTGCAGTTGGACAGGACTGACTGTACACAAACCCAGCAGATCCATCACAGTGTATTACACTGAGCAGCCATAGAGTAGCTGAGTAACAAATACACTTTGCACTAATCTAACAAATGTTGCTGACTGCTCCAGACAGCAGACAGCTAAACAAAAGAGAGAAGAAAGAGGTGAGGATTACAACTAAAGCTATAAAATCCTGCTTTAAACCAAGGTAGTGCAATATTATATGGGAAAAATACATAAGGGCAATTTCAATTTTTTAAATGTACTGCAAAGTTTAAATCTGCAGAGTACTCCTGAAATATCTACATTCAAACATCCATACACTGAAGTGAAGGTAAAGAGCTATACCTATAATACACGTAAACTGCGGTGGTGAGCAGTTTGGGCTGGCAAGTTACCTCTGTCCATAAAACATTCTAAGCTGTTTCCAGTAAAGCAACCTAACAGAAACGTGGATGGGTTTGGCCATTCCTTTTGCTACTTCAGCAGATGGACCTTACAGGTAAGATTTTTTTGACGCTAATACCTGAAGAAGCTTTTAATATGTACCTATCATGCACCCACACAGTCGCTGTAAATACAAAGTATGGTTTTGCACAGCTAAAACCTATCTAAATATGTTTTCTGAGAAATCATAATAGTAACAACTTTTAGCATATTGCACCAAAAAAAAAAATTTGCCTAAAGATGAATAAAATGGATCTCTTGAACTGTAAAAGTTTGTATTATTATTACAAAGAAATCCAGCTGGAAGCTTGAAGAACACCAATGAATAAATAAGCAGAGTAACAAATACTGGGAATACATGATAGAGATGGTGATTTTATAGTGACATACTATGAAATTATGGACACAGATGACAGCTCATCAGAGTAAAAGGATTAGCTTGCTTACAGTAATAGTTAAGTATGAATGCATAAAGTTTTATCAGAATAAAGAAACACATCAAGTATCTCCTAACATAGTTAATAAAAGCATCACTTCTGGATTACTGACCAAAGAAAAATGCAAAAGCTTGGGTTTTAATCAAGGATAACAGTTTTCACATGAATGCAGCTCTCAGCCTTCAGCTAATCAATCATTTTCAGATCAGTTATCACTTACCTGATTATCACTTTCGCAATCTTTAATGACCAAGTATCTCAGTAGATTTAGTGATGCCATAATCCTGTAAATTAAAAATGTACTGTTTATCATTCAGAGCAGATTTGTATTACAGGGATAGTAATTAAAATTGTCCATTAGCCAGACATCCTAGAAATACCCATTTGTACAAAATACAGCCACCCATCTGTTGAGCCATACAGCTTAGTCTCAAGCACTGGTGTGCAGTAACATCCATGTTACAACAGCTGGCTCTTTGCAAGTAAAATTAAAACTGTTAGCAGGCTGGCAAAGGCTGGCAATTGTGGGGGAAAGAGTTCTCTGAAGAGACAGAACCTTATGACAAAATTTGTAATACACATCTGTAGTGATCCAATTCATTTGAAACTGATGTGACAGTTTTCTTACCGTTGTCTTGAATTCCCAGTGCTTTCTGAATATGCTTTTTGTTTTTATTTTACCAAACTTCTTAACAGAAACTATTTATTGCTTCATTGAGATAAACAATTACACATCATACACCTGGATTTGAAGTAGTTATGTGTCCATCTGGACACTATCACAACCTATTGATTTACAAGACCAACCTTTACTTATGATATAGGAGAAGACTTGTCCTCTGTATGAGATTTTCAGAGACATTTCAGTTATATTTTATATTACTCAATGCAAGTATTTGCTGTTCAGGTGGCTCTGTGTTCCCATTCATGGGATAGTGGATTCCCAGCAGCCACCTGTGAAACAGCCTCCAAAATGTTTTGTGCTGTAAGTTGTATCTGGTAATTGTTATTCCCCTGTATCATGTAAGACAAACCACAATTCTTCTGGTCCTCCAATTGCTGACAAACCAAATATTCCTAAAGAAATAATGCTCTACCAATTAGTGCTGGCATTTGACACCTGAGGCCTCATATCCTCAGGGAATGGAGGAGGAATTTCTTTCTTATGAAGATCAATTTATAGCATTGTGACATTATTCTATACAGTTAGTTAAAAGGATGTTTGAAATAAGTGATCACTTCTATTTCTAGTACCAAAAAGTTAAAATACACTGATGTTGTCACGTAATTACATGACACTGTACCTCCCACTGTAGTCAGGTGGTTTGAAGTCTTTTTAAATGATTACAAAAGGGAGAAAAGCCTCTAATTCCAAGTAAAACTCACCTATCGGAGTGTTGCAGAAGATCTGTCTCAGCACCTTCTGGAAGCAAAAACACTATATCTAGAAGGGAGATCAAGTGATGTCCTGTAAACCAAGTGTTGTCACATGCCTTCTGAAAGGAAACCAACCCCAACATGACAAGTTTAGCTGAGTTCAAAATTTAATTCTTAAAGGTATCTTACATAATTTAACAATAATCTTATGAAACCAGAACAATGTTGGGGAAGAATGAAACACTGGAAGTACTGTCTAATCACTACAGGTGATGAAAGTACATATACTGATCTTTTTATAACCCTCCCTACTTTGTCTCTCTATGCCAAGCTGATCCTTTCAATTCTCCACCTTTTCAGCATTCCACCATCAATATAGTTAGTATTTGTTTTCATAAGCTTAGAACATGGTAGTACGCACTCTCATTTTATTTCTGTTGAGGTACAGAACAGAGACTATGTTCCATACCTCAGTTTTCATTTCACAACAGTGATAATTTTTAATCTATTTATTTTTAAGATGATCAGGTGGTTTAAGTCTGCTTTGTGTATTTCTAAACCCAGAAATGGATTGTAGAGAAAAACAGCTTAGATAAAGAGATGAGAAGGGTTAAGTCAGATCAGATGAGGAACCTGGAAAAATTAAGACTACCTGGGCACAAAAACTAAGATGAAATAAAGGATAGCAATAGGAAATTGTTATCATGATGTCTACAGCAGAATTCTTTGCAACAAACCTAGAATATTCAAATTCCTATGATGAACTTATTAAATTATTTGCCTTTTTGATAGCCAGGGAGCTCTACATGGAAGAAATGCATTAAGAGAATTGTGAAGCTACATAGTAAAAAAATTATTAGTAAGGAAATTTCAGAATATACTTTTACCTATTCAAACTAGGTGCAAGCCCCTTTTGGAACACTTCTCATACTATCATCTTCTTCACCCCTGCTGATTCAATATACAGGGCAGACTATGATCGAATAAATAGTAATTCCCTGTTTTCTAACATAATTATACTAGCATAAACATGCATAACTTTCATGTATTGTCCTATTTGACAAAAGCCAGTATCCTTGAGAATCAAATTTGGTTTGGAAAAGGCCCTAGCAGTTTAAAGGGGGAAAAAAAAAAAGAAAAAAAAAGGAGTTAATAATTTATTTTAATTATTTTTTTCAACTTCATGGTATAAATGATTATAAAATATGATATTTAAATGGCTTTGATCTAGCCTAACCATTTCTGATGAATTCAACATTCATGATGCACTCATAATGTAATGATGTCATCGCAAAAATAATGAAAAAATTAATAATTCTGTCTGCATGTACCTTCAAGCACAGACAAGATAATAACTTCTGAGAAAAATACAATATGATCATGCAATTAAAAACCACAGTTTTAAAACTGTAATGTAAAAATACATACGCAAGATGTATGTGTATATATACATAGCATAAGCTATATTCATGCTTTTAATTATATCATTTCCCGATCTTATGTTTCTTTCCAAAGCAGATTGTTTTTAATGCATCCCTCAAAGCTTAAGCTGTACATGTTTTCTCAACATAATACTGACAGAATTTTGGGATAGCTCCTTGGGTTTTAGTGGGAGTAGCCTCACCGTTAATGATAAGTGAATCTGATCTTTTATATTTTTAATAACGTATCCCTCCACACCAGCATGGTTGCTTGTCTTCAGAAGACACCTTCAAACACACACAGAGGAGAAAGAAAAAAGATAGATATTATCTCCGCAAAGCTGCCTGTATAGATAGTTCAAAACTTAAGATGACATCATGGCTTTATTCACTAAGTGGGAGGTTTACCACAGAAAAATGACCATGCAATCTTTACACGCTAGCTTACATAAGACAGTTGATTTTATGGGAGGCAACTGAAATTCATTATTTATCCAAAAAAAATAACATAGTAAAATTAATGTGGTTTACCAAACAGACTCTCTCAGAAATCACTGTACCTACGCAGTTAAACTGCAATTAAGCTGGTATTACACAATGAACAGTAACTTGGCTCCTTACCTGAATAATGTATGTTTTCCCTCTGTGTCAAACTTATGTATGTACAACTGAAAAACATTTAAACTTTTCTTTCTCTGAAGAGAAAAAAAAAAAAAGATAGTATGAGATTGATGCTAATGAAATAAATCCAGCACTCACTTAACTGATTCTGTAGGTCACATTACATACCAGATGCTCTATGGGACAAAGGGTCATAACTTTCACCAAATCCTGCCGTTGGACCAAGAAAACATAATTTCTAATTAGGTACAGATTATTACATTACATCATACTGACTAAAATCTACTCAAGACATAAAAAAAACCCAAAGAAACAACCACCACCAGAGCCCACAAAACCATGCCTATGATAAGTTCAGAGAAATTCCCATTAGCTTCAGTGTTTCAAATCCCAGGGCTGATAGACAACACACTGTTGGGCAAAATATGAATTTAGTCAAGAGCAGATTTCTAAGGAAGAGGCAGAAAAGAGCAAGCACCATCTTTCAGCTAAAATCAGTGCCCACCGGCTTCAGTGGCCTGTACATACTCTAAAGCATATTTAACCGTTACTAAAACTTCATGCTGTATTGGGTAGAAGAGACAGTCAATTCTGTATTGCAAGACACTGAAGGTATCCATTTAAAGACACAAGTGTATAAAGGTTCAGAAGTATCTCAAATACAGCCAAATATTATTTATAATCAAGCTTCAATGACTTCTGTACATTGCTTCTTATTACCTGAGGTACATTAATAAAATCTCTGAATTCTAAATACTGATGGAGAAGGCTATTATCTTCCATCCTCAACAAACAGCTCTCAAACAGATCCTGCAGGAGGGGATAAAAAAAGAAAGCTGGCAACATTTTGCACATATAAGACATTAATTTATATGCTTAACCATTAATATGCTTAATATGCCATTAATTTCATGGCTAAAACCACCTTCACTATAAATGCTCACTCAGACACTCAAAGTTTGTAGGATCTACAAACAATAAACAGCATGAAAACATTTATGCATATGTGTAAAATTCAATAAATCTGGTTTTGCAAGACTAAAGAATACCTAGTTAAGCCTCAACATTTTTCTGAAACTATTATCTGAATTATCACTTGTACCTTTCTTACAAGGGGTAACTAAAGTTTTACCATTACTTAAACTGGGAAAAGGAAACATTATAATAATGAAAATTTGAAAGAAAACTTACAAGTCCTTTAGATAAAACAGATTCTTCTGTTCTAGGGGAACAAAAAAGAAGAATCAAACTTAAGTTGTTAATTAAAAAGACACTGTTAATATTTCATCAAGATAAATAAGAAGAAATACCAGAACAGGGATGAAAAATAACTTGTTCCTTCAACAATTTTCATTCTCTTTTCTAAATGTAGTATCTTCACATTCCTCCCTAAGATTTTTAGAATAAACTAAGTTGAAAATTAGATTACTCCCTCTTCAGGGTCAAAAATGCTATTTCCCCACCCCTCCCCCCAATTTAATTCCTCAAAAGCAGCATCTCATATCCCACAGGTATCAAGACACTGATTAACAAAGAAAATGAAACTTTTCCCAGATGATTCCATTTGCAGAGTTCTGCAAGCCTAAAGAAAACACAGCAGATTCTAAATTAAAAAGACCAGGAAGTTTTGTTAAGTTACCAGGAAACAGTAAGAAGTTGTAACAGGAAACTTCCCTTCCATAGCAGTGCTAGAAACTATTTGGTCAACACTGCTGCTTATGGAAGGTGAAATAATCACAACATACAGAAAAGTCTGGTTTCCCTTAGACAGCCTGACCTTTGATCATGTTGCATATTGTACAAGAATACATCCAAATTAATATTATCACAATAGTCTCCTGTAGTAGTAAACTAATCTTTACAGAAGTACAAGTAAATATACACTCTAATTGTTCTGCATGTGTTTGGAAGACCTTAATTTTGCATTTTCAGAATAAAGTTTATAAAAATTATATCATGATACAAGCAGGAAACAACAAATAAATGTTGTAGTCAACTTTTCGTATTTCATGATAAAAAACCACCATCTTCTTGTGGAACTCAGCATTTTAACTCTCACATTTCAAAACCTCCTCTGATCTTATTTGGTACATTCAAAATGTGATTCTATGAATTACTATAAAAGATCACACCCAGTACCTAGAACTCCAAATGTCATAACCCCTACCTTTTCAGTAGTACTTCAATACTCGTCATATTGCATTGCAGAAGGTATGATGGACTAAAAGAGAAAAATAAGGTTTATGTTAAACTGTATAAGCCATATAGATTTGCACATAGTTAACAGATCAGGTTTTTTGTAAATAATATAAAAAAATCTTTATAATATTTATAATTTTGAAATAGACACAAAATAGTAAGTCAAATTGCTGTTAATAACCCTTATATGGGAACACTCTACAAATACACAATCAAAGATTCAATACATGTTAACTTTCAGCAAGTGACTAATCCTACCAGTTTCTTTGAAAGGACACCTCACCTAAAACTAAGGACACCTCACCTAAAACTAAACCCTAATAAGAGTGTTCAAGGCCAGGCTGGACGAGGCCTTGGGTAATATGGTTTAGAGCGAGGTGTCCCTGCCCATGGCAGGGGGGTTGGAACTTGATGATCTTAAGGTCCTTTCCAACCCTAACTATTCTATGATTCTAAGAGTAACCTACCGGACTAGAGTATGTTCTTATATACAGAATATAAGCTACATAAAATATAAATGCATAAAGGCTGGCATAAAACACACACTAATGAAATACAGTTTTAATTCATAACTATTCACAAATAATAATTTTTCTTCTGCTCAGAAAGAATCTTGAAAATACAGACTTACAATACGCGAGAAGAACAGTTCTTACCTAAATACCATCGGAAAGCAATCCATACCAAAATGCTGAACAACCATCAGATACGATAGGCAGGCCAAAGAATCAGCAATATTCTTTTGCTCTATGTCTGCAAACTCCTGATTCTCCCACTCTGCATTTTTGCTTTTACGATGTAAAAATACCAATGGTATCAGTTCTTTTATATCCCACAAAATGTCCTAAAAAAGAAAGACCGATTGCCTATAGTAGCCTTTAAAAGACCTGTATACCAATTAAGTTTCAAAGATGTAACTGTATTTACAGTAAATTCACTTACATAGCATAAGAATAAATTGATATAAACATCTGGTGAGTATTTATGATATGTACACATACACTAAAAAGGACCCTGCAGGAATATAACTGCAGGAAAAATAACTACTGTTAGAAGAATGGTACTAAGATAGCAAAGTCAATCACTCAAAAGTTAGCAAAAGACAAAACACAGTCACCCTGCAAACCCCTAGTTTGACTCAATTATCCACAAAGCTATGAAGAATGGTAGCTTCATCACATCATGCCACAGGATCCCTCTGTTTTTCAGATCACAGAATAATCAGTATTTTGTTTTCTACTCGCTTATCAATGTGCAAAACAGTATTTACCTACTAAACACAAGCCCTGCTTTAAAGTTAAGATCACCCTGTATGGCCTTTTTTCCAGTGACGTACAACACAATGACACTCAAGCTCTTCACAAATCCTAGTGTGATCCCCCCCAGCTCCACATACATTCATGTGGAATGGGAGGTAGTGTATATCCTGTTGTGCCTATTTTGAAAGAACAGTGAGATCAACGTTAACTCGCTGTTCCGGGGTTGTCCAAACTGAACATCCAGGATCCCACATTTTGGAAAATCAGGATTACACAAGGTGTCATACAGTCAAAACATGACCTTACCTGCACCTCTCATTGCACAATTCCACCAACAGCAGAAGTGAATTTATTAAGAAAATTAATCAAAGGTAGCATAAAGAACATGGTTTAGAACATAATTAGCATAAAGAATATGGTTTCAGACTGTGCCCAACAGGAGAGGCAGAATAAAAAGGCAGTTTTTCAAAGCACCCTTCAGCTATCTTAACTAACATCTTCTGGTAATCCCTGTCTCCTTCACTGTACACCCTGAAAGTCCTGCAATAAATGAAGTAAAGGTCTCAGAGACAAGATTCTCTTTCACTGCACAAGCCCTGATTGATATCACAGCAGTTCCATCCTATGCTAAGACATGCTGTGGAAAAAAACAGACGTGATCATGATAGAAAACCTAATTATTGTTGAAAAACAACCAGAAGCTTTGCTAACAGCTTAGTGTGCTTCACTTTACAATCTTAACATTTGGCTATAGAATTTTTAAACACAAATTGGAGAAGAAACAGTTGCATCCCACAGCAACTTCCAGATTTCCCCCACACGTAGGCACATTTGCACAAATACATAGTGAGTGTATTTATGTGTGCTTTCCCCATCTCAGCTGGCTCCAAGTCTTCCTTTTGAAACTCATCAATAATTCTCCCCTAAGCAGGGATAACAAGACAGAACAAAGTTCAAACTTCAAACTTAATTCTTTCATATGGTCAGCGTTAACATGAGAAGTAAGTGTATCCATAGTTAAGCAAACAACTTGCAGGAAAGAACTGTAATGGCCAGTTTCTTCTTAACAGTGATTATTAATAACCAGTTAATAGTAATTTAATGCTCAGTTCTCCTATACTTCTAAGAAGACATCAGCTGCAATCTTGATACCAATCAGATATTACTGTCTATTCAGTTTACCCAGCCAGTGGCCCTTTGACTATCCTGCAGGAAGACTCCATTTAGCACTGAGAATTTTTTCCACTCTTATATTTCATTACAAGATTTACCAGCCTGTTTCTGAATAAACTCTTTATCAAATGATCCAGTACCTGGCTGCCAAGAATGTTCCTTCATTTCATCGTCCCAACACACATCATTGTATAACTGTGCATTTGAAAATTAGAGACAACTGATATTTACAAACACTTTAAATTTGGGGTACTGGGTCTGCCTGGCCTGGAGTTGATTTTGTTCATGGCAGCCTGTGGGGTGCTGTGGTTTAGATTTGTTACCAAACCAGCTGCCACGTGGGGTCAAGCCACTACATGTGGATACATGTAAGAGAGGAAATATTCTTTACCACATTCGAAACAGGAACAAAGCACAGTTCTAATTGCTGTAGTGTGGAGACAGTGTTCTGACAGAAGAATGGATATCTGGGACATGAACTGTGAATAATCTCGAAAGATACAGCAAGGCCGTGAGAGGCCCGAGGAAGCTTATGCAAGCAAGATAAGAAGCAGCTGGAATTCACCGAGTTATGAGAACTGTGAACTGCTGGCAAGCTTTCAAGGTCAAGTTCTCACACCTGTGCTTAACCAGTTTTATGTCAGTCGCTAAGGGTCTTCACGACATGCACCCAATCATAATATGCCAGATCACTGTAAGCATTTGTAAGCAATAGTGTATAAGGAGTTAAGGCTTTGCAATAAACAGCTTTTGTCTGATCACACTGATCTCTGACTGAGTCCGTATTTTTTCTGCAGCACTGTAGCTTTATTAATCACACCTAGTTCCATTTTGAAAACATCCATGTATTGTGTGTCCCAATATATGCATGAACTGTATCTGATTATCTTCTTATAAGGACTGATTTTGCTGCAAGTTTAAGTAAAATTATCTACACCCACAATAATCTTCCTCTAATAAAACACAACTGCTATGTAAAACATTCACAATCAAAATAACTGCATTGATATTGTTTAAGTTAGCTAGCACTGCACTAGGCACATTAGAGATTTCTCTCTATGCAGCATGTATCTGAAGGGGGCCTATAGGGATGCTGGGGAGGGACTCTTAATTAGGGACTGTAGTGATAGGAAAAGGGGTTATGGGTTAAAACTTAAACAGGGGAAGTTTAGATTGGATATAAGGAGGAAATTCTTTCCTGTTAGGGTGGTGAGGCACTGGAATAGGTTGCCCAAGGAGGTTGTGAATGCTCCATCCCTGGCAGTGTTCAAGGCCAGGTTGGATGAGGCCTTGGGTAATATGGTTTAGAGCGAGGTGTCCCTGCCCATGGCAGGGGGTTGGAACTTGATGATCTTAAGGTCCTATCCAACCCTAACTATTCTATGATTCTACGTACATTTTACCTTGACATAATACTGCAGCAAAGACAATCCTTTAAATATTCTAACAAATTCATACCTCACCAAGAAAAAGCAGCAATTACAGCAAAGTACCAACTGCTGATTGAGAGATCAGTTCAGACTGGTTTATCATGGAGAAAAATTGTGTCTGCAAGACTTGTCATTTCCAGAGATGGGACATGGAACTGTCCTAGCCCTTTACCTACGTGCATTATATTACAAGACCCAGTAAGTCATCCCACTAACCAATAAAGGAACCAAAGTGAACTCTGGAATGAATTGTAGGTAATTCTGAACCAGACTACTGTTTTCGCAAACTGTAATTAGTTTTGACTGCACTTACAATAATTGCAGCTGCAAAATGCCGAAAGGGATGTTCATCAATGCCTTCAAGTTCTTCAAGCTGAGCTGTCAATAATGGGTATTTCAGGCTTTTCATACAGCTGAAATAAAACCAGGTGAAACTAAATCACCAGTACAAGCACAAATACAGACAATAACACTGATGACCAAGACTGAAGTCTATACTCAGAGCTATGCTCACGAGCTGCTGATATTCTGAGGAGAATAGAATATAAAATGAATGTCTCCTATTGAAGCATTCCTTAGACTTCACCTCCAGAATATGATTATCCTCACTGTAGGAAATTTCAGAAGCAGAGGAATACCAAATCAGCTTCACAGCACAGAGACTAACACTTGTTTACTATATCCCTGCAAATCTTTACCTTTCTTCTCTCACTTCACAAACATGTAATACATATTTAAGTTTTCCTTATTTTTCAAAATACCACATTAGTTAAAGTTGGCAGCATTATAAAACACTAACAAGATGATTTATTTACTTCCTATGTAATAAATACCTACTGTTCATTTTGTTAAGTTATAGGAATATATTACACTGACATAAAAAGCTCACAATTTTAATAATTCTTCTTTCAGCTCTGTGTCATTATATTCTGATGACTTCTCCATGTTTTTAACAACTTCATTCACAAAAGGTTTAGTGAAGTCCACCACTGCATTACAACACTGACAGAGACCCAGTTTATCTTCTTGTATTTGTTGTTTTGTATATGGTACAGGTAAGGGAGTAAGCTGATTCATAATCATGGCCAAAGATAAACCCACTGAGTAGGCCTTCTTGTTCTGAAGCTTCAAAAGCACTGGGGGAAAAAGAAAAAAGAAAGGGGGGGGTGGGGGCGGGAAAGGGAGAGAACATTTTGAGACATGAAGTTATTACTTAGTACAGGAAAATGTGAAGAAAAATAATGTAACTGCACAAGAAAGCCTTTAGTTTCAGGGGATGACACGTGAAATCACATGAGCAGATCAGCAAGACTCAACATCACCAGCTAGTTTGATATGCTGCCATTAAGATGACCATATATTTGAGGATGACAAAATGTCATGCATTTCAAAACATTCTCCCTTTCCCTGTAGCACCATGATGAGGAGTGAAAAAATCTCTTTTCAGAACTCGTCTAAGTGAAACAATACTCTTTTATTTGACTTGGAAAACTCTCTTATTGCTTGATTCCTCCTGTGCTTGACAAAACCAGAGACAATGGCGCAACCTTTCTGGTGAGATCTACTGGAAGCAGCCAAGACGCATTCTATAATCCGTGGTACAACCGCTTCCCAGACTGAGGAAGCAGCACAAGTGGCTCTCTGCTTAACTGTGTCAGCGCAGGCTAACTTCAGCCTGGTTATCCAAAAACCTACATACTTCTCATTACCAAAACACTCCGCTTGTTAAATCCTAACATACCTCGGGACTGCTACAATCAGACAACACTTGATTTCATCCCACATATCAAAACAGAAACTACTTCTTGTTACCTACTTAGTGGGGGTCCAAATCAATCATTTTTAGTTTTTATATGTAAGCCACAAAAACTACCCCCTAATTAATCAAGTGTTTCAATCTGCTTCAATGTGAAATTAAGTTCTATACTATGGGAAGATGGAGTTGTATGTTTTAAAAGTTAAATGAGGAAGGATTTCACAAACCCATGTGATTCTCTGTGTAACAAAAGTATGACTGGTTTACACCTCTAAATGTAACTGTTACAGGACCACATTCTTGTAAATGATCAAAATAGTTGAATATTGCTTTTTCAACTGATGCTATTAATCCCACCTAAAATCTTTCTAACGGGCCTATATAAGTGTGCAAGTTATACCCTGTGTTATTTTGCAAAACATAATAGTCTAAAGCCTGTCAGGACAGACATATCCTGAAACTACTCCAGCAAAGATTAAACTAAATTGATAAATAATTGGTAAATGAAAAAATTATTTAATTCTGAAATCACATGAGAAACTGCATCTTACCTGTCTGCAAAGGCTGAAGCAATAACATGACAGTTTGGCACACTTGCTCTCCAGAGGTCTGCTCAATCTGCTCAAGTAAACCCAAAAAAAGTTCCTTTGGATTGCATAGCTGCAAGAGAGGAACAACATGTATGTTTTAATAATGATGGTCATAAGCTAAAGAATTCATCATAAAGAAACTTCAAGACCAAAGCTCCTGAAAGTCAAAAAAGGAGATCTGAACATCCAAGATAATCTGTAAACAAACAAATATAAAACAGTAAGTACTTCCCTATAATTTTTACCTTCTGTACAGTCTATGTATATGTGTACAGTTACAAAAACATAAATAATAAATAAGGACACTAAACTTGGTTTCTAAGGTCTATAAAAACCTCACAGTACCTTAGTAAAATAATCCTTGGGAGTAGAGAGAAAAACACTTCAGTGTGAATTTAACTCCAGCTATAGAGTTTGTAAGTTGTTTTTTATTAGATACATAAATGAGAGAGATATAGTTTTCTACAGATTAAATCTTTTTTTTTCCCCCTTACTGCTCCATCAGAATCATCAGGTAATCACTGTCATACTGTATCTGCGGTAGACAAGAGCAGTATTGCTGTGGCTTCTCTGACTGCAGCAGGTGGCTATCTTTATGAGTTCTACGTGCCTTTTTCTTATGGGTAATGCTGTATCTTTTTTGTTTTGCCTAGTTACTAATTTCACCAGATTTCTAAGAAGTTAATTGTCTCTGAGAACACTAAGCCTGTGTCTACTTCAGATGAAACTGAAAACATACCTCTGCCAACTGCTCTAGTATCTTCAAGCAGTGTTCTCGCTTATCATCTTCCTTTTTATACATGAAAATACATCTAACCAGGGGAGAGATGAGATTCCAGCCCATATTCTTGATGATAACCTAAAAAAAAAAAACAGATTTTCAGAGAATAAACCAAAATTGGGTATCTTCTAAATCCAGACAGATTGTACCTATGAAGGCCAAAAAGACAACAGATTGATGTTGTAAGCAAAACTGTAAGAACGTCCTTAAAAATTTAACAACTATTACCATAGAGGTCAGTATTTGACATACACTGTATCCTCTCCCCATACCTATAAACACAGTTGCATATTTTGTATAGTTTTCTTCAATGTGTTAATTTTAACATGTCAATATATAAGGATTAATATGACAATACATTTAAGCCAGGACTGAGTACAGGAATTTAACTGAAAGAAATAACATTTAGACAAATTGAGTTTAACCCAAGGGAATTGAGATCTTCAGCTGTTACTCCAAACTCACAAATGCAAAACCAGACTATGAACCCCATGTAACATTGCCAGAACGTTCCATCCTACACTTTATGTCTGAAATTCCTATTTAGCTGTATACAAATTAGTATATTTTCCCAACTCCCCAAAGTGCCTACAGACACTACCACCTCTTATATTAGCATCAGCTTAGTTGGTTCTTAGTTTTGGCCAATATTATTATATCCATCTACGCTGGGTTGAGCCCAGACAGCAGCTAAGCACCCACCAAATGCTTACTCACTCTCCTCCCGCAGTGGGATGGGGGAAGAGAATGGGAAGAGCAGAACAGAATAACCCATGGTTTAAACTTAATAAGTGACAAAAAGGACAAAAGAGAGTAGAGGGGAAGGACAAATCAACTCCCAACATCAAACCAATGCCCAGCTAGCCTCCAAGCAACAGCTACTTTGAAAAAACAGGTCCCCGTCCCCCTCTGTTTTTATCGCTGAGCAGGATGTTATATGGTACAGAACAATTTGATCAGGTGTGCTGTTCCAGATGTGTCCCCTCCAAACTTCCCTACTTACTGAGGGGTCAGAGTGAGAAACGAAGGCCCTGATGCCTTGCAAGCACTGCTCAGCAACAGCTGAAACACTGGCATGTTATCAACAAATCTAAAACACAGCACCACAAAGGCTGCCATGAAGAAAATCAACTCCATGTCAGCCAGATCCAGTACACCGCCTGAAATTCTGATCTGCAAAAAAGGACACAGTCACTTTCTCTCAGTTATGCTTTTGTCCTCTCTTTTCACTTTGCTTAGCCCAGTCATTAATGGTTAAGATTACTGTGACTTGGTTTCTGTGAGCTACCTGAAGTTACACAAGAATGTGCTCTTACACAGAGCAACTTAGTACATACCCATATGTACAGCCTTGCTCTACGGTGAAAGTAGCTTTCCCTTTTTAATAAGCAGTTTTATCTATTTAGCTAAAATATAAGCATTTCCCTTTTTAATAAGCAGTTTTATCTATTTAGTGCACAAGTAATATATAGCACCTACTTAAAACTCACCTTATTTTTCTCATTTTGAATTACTTCTAATAACTGAGCTGCATACCCATCTTCTAAACATTTCTGACCTGCTACCTGAAACAGATTAAAATCTTCTCCTTTGAAGTCAGCTTCTTCCAGAATTTGCTAGAAAGAAAATATGCATGTTCAATCCCACACTTATAAAAGGCAAATAAAAAATAAGAAAATTCAAGCTTTCATGTCAAAATTAAATATAGTGTCATTGTAACTGTTCTTAGATATATCTTTCATGTATTAAAAAAGCTATAGAGAGCTACTACAGAAGACAAAGCAGGATTTTAATAGTACTAAATCTGACTACAACATACTAATTGGAAGACGTGTTTTCTACAGTAACCTGCCAGGGATTTCTTCCTTCAGACAGGTATTGCTGAATACAAGAATACTTTCTCCAGGAAGCAGAAGTTGTCAAGCAGCTTGGGTGGACAAGCGTATTAGTGGCATGGGTTAGTGATGGCCTTGGCAGTGCTGGGGAACGGTTGGACTTCACGATCTTAAAGGTCTTTTCCAACCTGATTCATTCTGTGATTCTATGATAAGTGCTATAGAGAAGTCAATGAAACATGAAGGATCAACTTAGCTGCCCAATGAGTTTAGCTAACAACTGTCTTCTGTTTGGGGGTCATTTTGGTTTTAATAACAATATACAAATAGAAATACACACTGCTTGCACTTGTTACTCTTATGGAAAGAAAATTACTTACACATCTTTGTATTATGGCTTGAAGTTCATCAACTGCCATTGTAGTTTGCCGTTGTTCTTCTGGCATTGAAAACTAATTAAAGAGTGCAATATTAAAATACACGAAGTAAAAACAGAGACAAACACTGCATTTTCTGTGTCTTTTCTCACCAGAGGAGCTCCTGCTCAGCCCTGTCTGGAACACTCTAACCTCATGCCTGGGAGATACACAGCCGATTCAACCACCATGCCAGTTGATACCAACTAGTCCAATCAAGATTACATATATAATAACATTTATTTCTTTCTAGTCTCTAGGTGAGACTATTTCAGTGGCCTTTTACCTCTAGATACTACAATGTAAAGCCTTCTTGCTAAAAGCCATTAGCTTAAACATTTGAGTAGCGTTAAGTATATACAAAGTTTTACATAGTCAGGATCACGAATCACAGATAAAATCAAGCTTAGTTATCCCATGTGACATATCATAGGCATAATCTTTAAGCAATTCTATATGTCTAAACCTGGTTATATGATTACTATGAGCATCAATTACTTCCACACCTGGACAACTCTTCACCATAACACCCAAGTTCCACATTTATACAAACAGCTCAATGTAATATCCTCAAGCTTTCCTCTTATGTTCGTCCTATACTATACTCACACAACATCTGGATTACTAAGATATGAACTGGATGTTTACAAAAAAGAGGCAAAATCCTAAAAGGCATCTATGCATGAGTTTTATTATTTAAAGAACAAACAACTCACGTTCTATTCCCAACAGCCTATTTTAACATTTTCACGTCACTACAGTCTATCCCCGTATCAAGCCTGTCGTTTTAATTTGGTCATTATCACACACTTTTTTACCATATGTTGTAAATAAGCTCTTCATTTTAGAGGATGTTACTAGCCCTCCCAAAACAATTTAAACATGTAAACATATTGAACATTTAAATTTAAACAAGTACTTAAACAAACTAAACATTTAAACAATGAAACGTACTTCTGAACGCCCATATTCCTGCATTTTCAACCCTCCGTCACTTCACAGTGTACTTACAGCCTTGACACATGCCCTGAGTGAACATCCCCCGAGCTGCCCCAGGGATTTATCTTTAATACTTAATCCAGCTTCTAATTAAGTCTTCCCAGAGGTTTCAGCGGCAAGCTGACAGCAGCTGAACCATGTGAGACGGAAGCCTCTCAGCCACAGCTGAACTAGCAAACACCAGGCCGCCCTCCCTCTACCCGCCGGCTCGGCTCGGCTCGGCTAGGCTCGGCTCGGCTCGGCGGGCCGCAGTTCTCACACCGATCGGCCGTGCCCCTCCGCACCTACCACTCCACACACAGCTCCGCCACCGCCTCTCGCTGCGTCCGGCCCACGCCGCGCCGCGATGGCGGCTCCGCCTCCGGGTGAAAGGTCAGAGGGCGGGAATGAAGGAGGGAGAGGGTAGGCGCGATGATGGCGACCAGGAGGTCGAGGTGCAGCAAGAAGGGGAAGGTCAGCCGGCGGCGTGAAGGTAGGCTCTGGGTTTGCTTTTCCCCTCCCGGTGCTTTGGGTTCTGCCCTTAGGGACTCAAACAACTTGCTGTACCCGGGGGAGCGGCTGGGCGGGCTCGGCGGCGGGCCGAGGGTGTCGGGCTTTGTCCCCTAGGGCCCGGTGGAGGTGCAGCCGGTCGGAAAACGGCGTATTCCAAGGATAACAGCCCGTTTGGTACCCTACCTGGAGTACTGCGTCCAACTCTGGGGTCCCCAGGACAGGAAAGACGTGGACCTGTTGGAGAGGGGGCCAGGAGAAGGTCACAAAAATCATTAGAGAGCTGGAGCACTTCTGTGAGTAAAGGCTGAGAGACTTGGGATTGTTCTGCTTGGAGACTTCGGGGAGACCCAGTTGCGGCCTTTCAGTTTTTAAAAGGAGCCTATAAAGACGGGGGAGGCTTTTTAGCAGCACCTGTTGCAATAGGAGGAGGAGTGATGGTTTTAAACTGAAAGAGGGGAGATTTAGGCTGGATGTGAGGAAGAAATGTTTTACAATGAGGGCCAGAGAGGTGGTGGATGCACCATCCCTGAAGACATTCAAGAGCAGCCTGGATGTGGTTCTGGGCAACCTAGTCTACTAGAAGATGTTCCTGCGTGTTGCAGGGGAGGTTGAAATAGGTGAGCTTGGAAGGTCTCTTTTGAAGTAAACCATTCTATGATTGTATGGTTATTTTCCCTCACTATGTTCCTTGTCTTAAGGGAACCGCTGCCCTAGTCCCCCATGTCAGTATGCAGGTTAGGGCAGGCAGAGCCTTGGGGCAGTTTGCAGAGGTGAGTGGAGAACCAGAGTGAGTGTGATTGGCAGAAAATTACTGTCAGAATTACTTTTCCTTTAGCTTTCTGACTGTACAGAACATGATGAGAGTATGAAGTGAGTTGGGCCTATCTGGCCTCATGAGAAGCATGTTCAACTGGTTGCTGAATCATTACTAGCTTACTGAGGTCACTCTTGGCCACAAAAGCAAGCTTCTAAGCAATTCTCATGATTATGATTATGCTTACTGTTTAGAGGTTTAATACTTTTCAGATTCCATGGTTTTCCACTTTTAAAAAAAGTACACTCACGTCTGTATTTCTATTCTTGTATGTTTGTTTTCTAGAAAATAAGAATCTAGATGCTCTGAAGAATGAAGATGCTGCTCAAAGGTATGATTTGTAGCTGATAATTAGTGGTATTCATGTTGGTTTGCCCTAGTTTGAAATCTCATTCTCTGCCTTACATGGTTTTTTGCTTTCTCAGAGTACTATGGCTTTCAGGCGATTGCCAGCATCAGCGTCTTGCAGGCTTGTTTGGAATGATGCTGTGTAACTTCTAACAGCTTGCACATACGTACCTTGGATAATACGCTAAAGTTTATGACTTTAATCTACACAGTTGTATTTCCTTAGTCTGTAGTGCTTGCTCTTTGTCGTCTTAACTTCTCTGTATACCCGCTGTTTTTCTTTATTCACTTTAAAACCAAACTTCAGAGGAAAACCCACTTTTTGCCATGAACATTTACCTGAATATTCACTTGGTCCTGTAACAGAAGTAGGCTTCCAGTGTAGACCTCTGTTGGTTAAGGCAGCAGAATTGACTGTTCATTGACAGCCTCTGTGGAAAGCACTGCCAAATGGAGATTGAGCAGAGATGCTTGTTTTCTAAGTATTTGCTGGAACACAATAGTGACAAGACTCAGGAGCACTCGGGAAACCTACTGAAGTGGGATTTATTAATTTTATTCCTTCCTTTACTTTGTACCCTCACATATAGTCTTGTCCCACTCCTTTTTTCTTCCTGTTCTTTATGTTTCATCCAGCTCCTGTTCTCCTGGCAGCACTCCCTAAGTTGTTCATCCCAGGCTCTGCGCAGCCAGTCCCGTGTTTCCCTCTCCTGCAAGAAAAGTTGTGTAACCTTGTATGGCAATAATGTAGTGCAAAAAGAGTCAATGCTTTTCCTGACCAGGTGGAAATAAAGCAAACCAGGATTGGAAATTCCTTTGTGGTTACTCCAGAATTACTTGTGCATCACTTTGTACTTTTGCCTTGTTTGCCCAACATGGTGTGATGCGGAAAAATGTAAGCTACTGTATTTCAGAAAGATAAAGATATGATGGGAGACTTGTTTATGAAGTCTGCCCTCTGTGTCTGTTCTGCTACAGGAAAGCAGCTCTGGAGGCTGCTGTGAGAAAGAAGATTGAATTTGAAAAAAAGGCGTTGAATATTGTTGAACAGCTCCTGGAAGAGAACATTACTGAAGAGTTCCTTCTGAATTGTGTAGGTGTTGCAAGTTTCATACTGTTTTGTATTTTCATGTTCAGATTTACTTATTTAAGTTCTTGGAATGATTTACTGCAGTTTAAAATAGACGAACCATTTATTCCCTCTCATCAGCTCTGATGATGATTGCCTTATTTTAAGGTTCTGCTGCTGATGATTGCCTTATTTTCAAGGGCTCTGTGGTGAAAACATGCCCTAGTTTTGCAGGACTGTTCATTTATTAATCCTCACTTTATTACCGCAGCCTTTGTTGATGCCTCTGTGGTTCTGGGCTGATAGATGAAGTATAAAAATTGAGGTCTATTATCACATCATCTGTGAATTCAGACAGTGTCTGTAATGCTCCACATCTTATCAAGCAGCACAGTTTTGCTGGAATGGTATGATGATTGCTTCTGTTAAGGCTGTAAATAGGTGTAAAAAGCCATATATAAATCGAGGAAAATTACTGAAGTAGGTGCCACACTAGAGGCAAAATTATGAGGATCTTGTATATGTAAGAAGCACCCATGTCTGTCTTCTTTCCCTGTTTATCCTGTTACTGTTTTTACTGTATAGGTTCTAAGTGTTGCTTATTAAACTTTCTAGGTAACTGTTACAAAGTTAAAAATATTAACTTGCTTACAAGATGTTTCGAGTACAAAAAGTGGCAGATTTTCCAGTATCTGTTGTTGAACTGTTCCCTTGTCATTTTAGGGAAAATATATTACCCCATCTCACTATAAAGACGTTGTTGACGAACGATCTATCATCAAACTGTGTGGTTATCCTGTATGCCACAACAAACTGGAAAATGTAAGTTGCTTTTTCTTAATGCTGCTACCATAAGAATCTCTTCACAGTTTTTATTCTCTTGCATTTTCTTGTTAATTTTCAACTGACAATATTAAACATAGATTAAAATACTGTGAAGTAATGGGCCAGGTATCATATCATTCCTTTTCAGTATAATCCTTTTGAAGTAACAGGTAACATTTGATCAGTTGACAACCATTAGTATATGACAGAATCAGCATCTACTTTGACAGTAATAAAGATGAATGAGGTATGGCTCCGTGTCCATCCTTTGTGCATGCAGAAACTTTCTAATTTTGTTCCTTCAGTGTGACCACATATGTGAGAAAGATTGAAGTGAAAAAATAATACAACACAGGGATATTACTGCGTGAATGCATATACATCTGCTCTAAAAATGAATGTTTCCTGTGTCAGAATTGTAATCATGCTTATTTAGATTTGGTAAGTCAGAGCTCAAGCAAAAGTCAGAGTCTAGTTAGATAGCCTGTGATGAAATACCAGTTGTGGTACACCTCATGCTCTGAAAAAAAACTACTCAAGTGAGAAAAACGTTGCTCTTTTGGACTTCTTATGTCTCCACATAAGTTCACTGGGAAACTGCATTAAATTTTAAGTTCCTTTCTAGGTTTGTGTGGGTAGTGGTGGGGGTCTCTGATAGTAGTCTCACATGTGTATAAATAGGTATGGATTAAAGAAGGACCTGTCTGTAATTGCTCAACACTTACACAAGTAAATTTCCTACAAAGCATCTCCATTGGTCAGTGCTAGTTCTCTTGTAGATCTGAAGTTGTCCTCTATTGATGGTGAGGTGTAAATGATCAAAGATAAATTGCCATTCCAACCATAACAATTCTGTGATTCTGAGAGTCTTAACATCTGAGAAGGTAAAATATCAAAAGGACTGGGAGGAAGAAGTGGTTGTGGTATGCAATTCAGTTAAAACAGAGCCTCTTACACATTAAGATAGATGAATTAGAAATGAAGTTTTGTGTAATGTCATGATTAAAACAACAGTCTTGCTGATGAAAGCATTTTTGGTTTAGGTGCTGAAACAGAAGTACAGAATTTCAACAAAAACAAACAGAGTTTATGACATCACGGAAAGAAAGGTATGGAAACAAGTCTACTTCTAAAATGTATTTGATATTCTCAGCATCAGAAATGCTGTTTTGTAACAGCATTGTTGTAGTTGCTTGATTTTGAGCCAGTGGGGTTCTTGGGAAAATAATTTTCATGAACTGTTAGAATATGAAGGTTTTCATTCATTTCAATTTCTGCATGTTCTCTTTGGAAAGAGAAAACTCCACGTTTTCTAAGTTTAAACATAAAATAGAATTTTTTACTTGGTTTGAATGTGGTGCAGCTGAAAAGACATCTGTGAAGGAGTGTTCTGTTTTGCTCCACTATAGTCAATGAGCTTTATTAGGGTCAAAGTGGACATCCTTCTCATTCGCTCGTTTGCAATAGTGTGATACAGGTTCCATCACGTGCATTCCTTAGCGTGACTACCTTTAGGGTTCTTTTTTGAGAACTTCTCAACATAAAACCTGCATCTTCATGAAGTCTGTTTCTTTCTTGAAGCATGTCCGTGCATGGTTACCTAAAAGTCTTTGCCTGCTCACAGGATACTCAGTCATCTATATGTGCTGAGGCACTGAATTGTAGGAGAAATGTTTCTTGTTCCAGATGAAATTTCTTCTGTGTCACTAGTACATATTCCTTTCCTCTGATTATAACTCTGGGATACACAAAACTGTGGGAATTGATTTTTCAAGCTACCAGGCAAGACTCAAAAAAAATGGGATGTTTTGTCTTGTTCCCTGATGTGCAAGTTTATTTTTCAAAGATGCTGCAATACTTAAGGTATTTTTCTGAGTACTGCAAAATACCCAAGTTCTGTTCCTAACCAGAATTTTCACCATTAACTACCTGAATTTAATTGCGTGACTTTTATGTTGTATGACCATCTTGTTGGGTTAGGAATTGTTCTTTGAACAGGTTTGGGTGCTTTTTTAATTATTGTCATGTAGACTTCAACACTGTTTCGCTTCTCAGTATGTAATAAAAGCACAGAAAGCAGAAAAACAGGGGACAAATAAGAAGCTAAAAGTGGCTTGTGGGGAGTGGGGTGAGCCTTTTTGATAGGTTTGGTTTCTCAGATGAAGCCTGGTCAGAGGCCTAAAAAGAAATGTGAATTGATACTTTGTTTTACAGGCATAAAAAAAAAAAAAAAAGCAACAATTACTTTTCTACCTTTCTGTGAATTCTGAAGTTGTCTTTAGTAATGTTTTGTTGCTTTCTTTCATTTCCAGTGCTTTTGCAGCAACTTTTGCTATAAAGCATCCAAATATTTTGAAGCTCAGATTTCCCAAAGTCCAGTATGGATCAGAGAAGAAGAAAAGTAAGTATAACGTTGTATATCCATTGCTCCTTTTGAGAATATTATGCAATGCTTATTGCTTAGCTGCAGTGCATCAGAATGATGGGGCTGAACTAGAGGTAACTGATGTTAACAGCTTAGCATGTGTTGATTTTTAAAGTGTTGTTGCCATATCGATTACAGTAAGTGACACGACTCAGTGCTACTTGTGACTATTTAGTAGACATGACTTATGTTAGTTTAGTTTAGAGGGAAGACTATTCATAATAAATATTCAATTCCTGAACTTGAAATTGTACTTACTGGAACTGGATTTTGCCAAACCATATAATGTGTGAATTCACCTTACCCTGTTACAAGAGATTTTCCAATTTTAACACAGCAGTTGTCTTTGGTCTGAGGGTTAGAGTGTGAATGCTTGCACCTCAGAGCAGACTATAACTTGAAGAGGTTCTTTATCCTGTCTAAACTTCAAATTGCCCATTTCCTGTTGAAACTTCAATACACATGTTGGAACAGGGTGATGCAGTCCATGTTCCCAGCTTAGGAAACACAGGCTTGCAAATAACGATTTGAGCCAATGGGTGTCACTGTTTAACAATAGATACTTGCCTAGAGAATGTTGAGCTGAATTTATTCCACTTTTGTTCTCTAAGGCACTAATTTTGATAGTCTACTGGTTTTCAACAAAAGAAGCTAGCTGAAATTATATGTTTGAGTTTGTTTTTGCAGTTCGGATCAGTCATCTGAATCAGTATCTGGTCAGTGAGAGAATTGGTTTAGAGCAGCCTTATGGGATCTGAGAGATTTTAGTAGGTAAAACTAGCCTCTTAATTGAATGTTTAGGTGAGTTTACCAGTATTTTTGTGCTTTTGTTGTTCTGTCTTTAAAGAAAGTATTTCTAAAATCTCCTTTTATTCTTGATGTTGAAAGTCTATAGTTCTGATATGCCTGACATAGTTAATTATGCTGTGGGGAGGGAGATTTTTCCAAACAACAAACAAAAGCCCAGATAGCTCATGGCTAGGTATGTCTGTTTGCACAGTCAGACATGTGCACACACAGATACACATTTACACATTAGGATACCTGAAACTCTTTTGACAGAAAAGACTGGAAACTCCACTTCAGACTCTGAAGAAGAGTTACATATAATAACTTAAAGCATTTCATGTTATCACCTTTAGTTTCCAAAGTTAGTTCATTCGTATGAGTTGTGGAGCTTTCATCTTTTTAAGCCTATGGGGGTTTTTATATACTGTCTGAGACGTGTTAGTGCATTGACTTGCATTTAGTGCATGCTTAAAAGGCTTTCTTTCATTTGTAGGACAAGCAGGTGAGGATTTTGACTTTTAGCATTGTATGAAATGAACAGCATTGTCATGCTACCTCATAACTGAGTTGAAGCAGATTAACTGCAAGTAGAGCTTTGGAAAGAAACCCATCAGTATTGGTTTAGTAATGTTTCTTAGAGTTTCTGGAAACCTTTGAACTCTATTTTCTTAAGGCAGGGTAATTTGAGAGCCTAATTTTTACAAAGTAAACTTTTAAATAAATAAAGATACCCTGAATATTCATATATTTTTTACATTAATTGGGCGTGGTTTTCTGTAAATATCTCAGGATTGCTTTTACTATAGAAACTTTGTGACCTATGAAGATCCTGGCATGTTTACTTTGTTGAAGAGACCAAATGGTGATCTGAAAGCAGTCTACAACTACTTGAAGTTGCAAAGATTAGAGCCAAATTTTGCTTGGTTGGTGGCAGAAAACTTAGCAAGGGGTGATAGCCACAAATTATTGCATGAATGGTACAGGTTGGACACTGGGGGGAAAAACTGCACCAAGGTTATGGTGGAATGAAACAGGGTACTCAGCAGTGTTTTGAAATCTTCATCTTTGGAGGTTTTCAAAATTTAAACTTCATGAATTTATGGATGACCTGATCTAGTGCTGGTGACAATTGCAGAGGTCAGACTAGAGACTTCCAGAGGACCTTCCTGACCAACATTTGTGTGACTTGCTGGTTCTATTAAATGTTGTTTAATGTAACAGCATCATGTTGCAGGCACATGTCGTGCTCTGTGAACAGTTATGTATAAACCTGCTCTCACTAACCCTGATTTGAACAGAGGGTATTGGGTTAGAAGGTCCTTGGATATCCCTTCCAACTTCAACTATGTATCCCATGTATTAATGGTTACTTAAAGAGCATTAATTTAACAGGAAAATCTTCATTCTGTGTCTTCTTTTTGCAGACCACCAGACATAGAGCTGCTGAAGAATGGACAGAGGTACACTGAACAATATTTTTTTTCTGTTATAGGCACTTCTAGTTAGAAATATTAGCATCAAATCAGGTGAAAGGGGAATCTTTGATTTCCTGTGTTATACAAAAGACCTTATTAGAACCTACACAGTGGTGGGGTTTTTTCCTTTGTGATTCTAAGCCAGCATATTTGATCTGTATGATTTAGTGTACAGCTGCTCTTGGCCTCTTTGTCTTGAGCCTGTTGAAATCTGAAACAAATCCACTGTTTGTACTTTGCATATTTTATACCATCTATTCTTTATAAAGAAAATGGTACCAATTATATGTGATGAAAGCTTCTGTGCTTCTTAATCTAAAACATCCATATTGCTAAAATGAAATCATGCTACTCTGTCATCTCTCTGTACCTTGCTGTGTATTGTGATTTATTTTTTTTGTTTGCTTTCTTTTGCAACACATGGCCATTAGGTGGCAAACTTACATATGCTGAAACCAGCTCTGCTTCTCCCCCTGATTTTAGGGTGGTGTATTCCTATACATGTTAAAGCACCCATCTTCATTTTAGAATTGCGGTATTCTTCGTGCTAAGTCATACATTGTTGTCTTCAGTAACACCTTGTTTACTATTTCTTTTCTAACTGCCAATAAGCAACTGAGAACTTGCTTATCTAAATGGTGTCTATATTTGTCATCTTGATTGCAGAACATCACAAGTCTTGAGTTCCAGACGGCTTTTAGAAGAGCAGCTATGATTGTTAAAGCTTCCATTCTGCTATAAGAGAAAAACGCTTTATTTATCAATACAAGAATGAAAAGCAGGTAATACCCTTTCTTATTTCATTGATGGCTTGTGTTTTCTGTTACAGTGGAGAGTCTGGAGAAGAAGTGAAAATATGTGATGAGATAATTAAAGCATCCGACATCGAAAATCATAATCCATGTGAATCTGCTTCTCAAGACAAAGCCAGTGACAGCAGTAGTGATACCGAACAAGAATTTGTTTCTTCTGTCCTACCAGGAAGTCAGTCAAGTTCAGCCAGTATTGCACAGCAATTGCACAGAAACAGCATCCTCAAAAAGAAGTCCACTCAGAACATATATTCCAGCCCTAAAACTGAAAACTCAGATGTGGCAGAAGCCACTGAACAGCTATCTAATTGTAAATTAGATGCTCAAGAAGAAAAGTGTGCTTGCTCTGGTCATAATGGAACACCTTCAACATGTGCTACCCCAGGGAAACCAAGTGCTTCAGAAAACTGTGAAAATACCCGTGGTTCACAGATAGTTTATCTAGGTGTGAGCAAAAGAGGGGCAGAACATCTTAAAAGAGCACTAGCTAAGTCAAAGGAGCATAGAACATCAGACCAGAGGCATCCAGTTAATTCCAAGGGCAGTTTATTACAAGTGCTTAAGCAAACACTTACAGAATGGAGAACTGAGGAAACTTTAAAATTTCTCTATGGCCCAAACTACAGTTCTTTATGCTCTTCAGAGAGCATAGCATCTGCCAACCAGGAGAATGAAGAACTTGATGAGGATGACTTAGATACAGCTGATGATCTTAGTGCTGGTGCTGTAGGGGAGTCTGAAAACAGTTTGAACTATTCGTTACCTTTCACAGGCCCAGGTGGAATAGTTAAGCCGGTGCCTAGTTACGAAAAGTTAAAAGAAGAAACAGAGTTCCTACAACTCCGAGTAAAAGAGTTCTATAAAGGAAAGTGCATCTTGGCTGAAGAGGCAGAGACAAGTGCACAAGCAGAGGAACATTCAAGCAAAGATGAAGTAAGTGTCCAGTGGAATAGTGTTGAGGCAGTTTGTTTCTGTCATCGTAAGTGAGTAAGTATCTAGCATAGGGAAGGGGAAAAGCAGGTTAGCACACTGTATGTTGGGTCAGATTAAGCAAGCTTCTGTCCAGTAAGTTTTTGTGTTGTTTTTCTGTGTTTGGGTTGGTTTTTTTTGCTATTTGGGGATAAGAGTTTTCTTATGTTTAAGCATTTATTGTTAAACTGTGACTATTTTGATGCATTGACTTTGAAATACTATGTTATAGCTGTTGAAGTTTTTTGTCTGGTACAGGATGATCAGCAGGAAGATCTCACCTTCCCACTTGTTGATTCAAATGCACAAATGCAGATTAGAAAGAGAATCGTCCTTGAAAAACTGAGAAAAGCGTAAGTATCCTTTCCTTTGGTGGGTGTCAAGCTGAAGTTGCTGCTCATTCAGCATCATTTTACATAACAGACACTATGCAAGGGCATTCTGGCTTTTTCTAGGTGGTCTTAGCTATAACTTAAACTTGTTACTGCCCTAAAGAACTTATTTCTGAGACAGTCATCTGTGGTACAGTTGCAAAGGTCAGTTGTTACAGGCGTTTGGCTTTTCTGTGGTTGTAGTTTGTGTTAGCAGTCAAACCAGATTTTCCTAAAACACTTCATTCTGTTTCTCTACCTGCTAAAAGTGTGGATGAGCCACAGACATGGAATCAAATTATGCTTCAGGTAAGGTGGCTCTCTCTGACCTTTCTGTCAGTGTCACAGGACTAGTAAAGCAGTTTCTCAGCGTCTTCAAGATTTTCCCTAAGTTTGTCAGTCATTTTTAGCCTCTAGCAAAATTTCTGTTAAAAGTCTGGTACTTGATGAATAGAGGATAAGAAAAACAGACTGAGTTTTTTCATCTTTGAAGGTTTTATTCATGACTGTCCGCTTCTTTAGTTGGTTGCTTTAAATATCATGCCATGCAGTAGTCCTGTCACACTGTAGTCATAGAGACAATCTTCATTGTGATAAAGCATGATTTGTTGGTGTGTTGAGATGAGGTGAATGGGAATATGAGCTTGTCCAGCATCCCAAGAGCCCTGTGTTCAGTTTTTGTAAAACAGGCAGTGATAGAACGGTGAATTGAAGTCTTGATTCTTCAGCAGTATTGATGCATCACATGCGTATAAATGTAAATAACTGGATATTCAAATGCAAGAGGATAGTAACTGTTAAACAAGTAAATAGAGGCAAAAGTTTAATCCTGAATTTGAAAACCAACACATGTTATTTCCAGCATTTGGGAATACTAACAGCTAGTTAAACAGCACGTGTGGTTCATTGTGTGCTGTATCAGTTTTACACAGTCAAACAGGGAGGCAGTCTGTAGTCTTCTTTCTTCTTAAATGTTCTGATGACCTTACTATTATCTTGATTTCAACTGTCAGGCTTCCAGTGGAATGTTATTCTTGTTGCAGCCATGTGAGCCTGCAGTTAGCGGATATATTCTCTGTGCAAACCTCATTTAGACATGCAGTTTCCTTTTGTCATTTTTAAACCAAGTAAATGTGAATATTTGAAACATTCATGACACTTTGTCTAATCCTTGTAACGCAGACACTTTGATTTTTTTGCTAAGGATGTCTTGTCAGAACAGAAACATGAAGTTAATAAGAGTATACATGTGAAAGTATGTTTAGTTGTTCTTCATGTTCACACTGAACTAGAAATACTTATTTTTAAAAACAAGCTACTATAAGGTGAAGGTATTGCCCAAACACCACTCAGAGGAATCTGAAATGTAAATCACTGGCCTCATCTGCTGCACAAAAGTCCATCTCTAATTAACTTTGTTGAGCTTTGATGGAAGGCCTCCTTGAGAAGAAATAAGAAAGAGGAAAGTGTATATTGACTGGTGTCTTTTGCCTTCTAGACTGCCTACAGTTTTGGGCCCTCTTCAGATTACTCCAGGTGATGTTTACACAGAGCTAAAAAATCTTGTCAAAACTTTCCGGTGAGTATTGGTCTTTATTTGGAGATTCTTTTTGCTTGATTAATTAAACATGCTGTTGAATGTTTGTGATTTAGACACTGAGAGGGCCCCATTTCAGATTTGCCCTTTCCTAGCTGTGTGTTCATGTAGTTAATGTCACGTTCCCTGTGGACTTACAAGTCAAGCCTTTCCCTGCTCCTGACAGTGGCTAGGTCACCAGGAGTATTTGTAGGTTTCTAAAAACTAGGCCAGTGGTCTCTGGAGGATGGTGGTGAGTCTTTTAAAAGTTCTGCTACCTCGTCACCTCCTATTAAGTGTGAGTTTCTGAGATCTGTCACTTTCTTTTGCTCTGGCTACCTACAGCTGGGCTAAATGGTTTTACTGTAATTCGTAATTGTTACCACTAACTTCTAGAGCCAGGAATAAGGTCCGGTTTGGCCTGTCCCCTTCCTGATCTCAAGGGGAAGTAGATCTAGTGGACACTTTAATACCACAGCTGAAGTTTCTGGTTCAGTCAGAAGCAGTGAAGGCAGTATTTGGGAACACTGGTATAAAGAGGGAGGGAAAACAGCATGGTGGTAACTTCTCTGAGCAATTCTAGGTTTTGTTTAGGACATAGATCTCATAACTTGGACCTAGATTACATCCTGCATCTTGAAGTATTGTCAGGAAGAGGAGAAACAACAGTTGCTAACCCTATGTACATTGTCACTCTTGAAAATTTCCCCCTAAATCCCCAAGAGGTTTGCATGTAAGTTATCCAAAACTCATTCACGTGGTTTTTGTTTTGGTGCATAGAAACCCATCTCTACCTGATTCCTTATGATTTATCTGACATCTGGTAGGACACCACTAAAACACGTATCTAAATGTGCAATTCCTTGCTATGGAAGATATTATTTTCCTTTCTGGTGGCTCTCTGCATGATCCCTAAAAGACTTGTTAGTGTTTGAATTTGACTCTGTAGTTGAAGTCTTTTAAGATGTGATTAACATTTTATTTTACCAACAGCATTGAAATCAGGAAAGATATTTTGGGTTATATTAGAGCAGCGTGTATATACTGTGTGTATATAAATATGTATCACTACTATTTGAATAGGATCTTGGTAACTTCAAATAGTTTAGTTGCTCTGCTGTCTAAATGCTTAACAGTCACTTTAGCTTATGGATTGAAACTGGAAAAACTGCATTTGGTCTCTCTCAGTCTACTTTTTTATGATTTAGTATGTAGCAATTCCTGGAGGTTCTCAAAACCAGAACCTCTATATTAAATCATTTTTGCTATGCAAAGACAATGTGGCCTGAATATGATGTTTTAAAAGTGGCTTATAGCAAAAGAGCCTCAGAGCCAAAATGGACTTTAAAAAACTTAAATATATTTATATACATTTGTGGATTTACAGCATTGAATGAGATCTAGGTAAATTGGGCTTTGACCCTAATTCCTGGCTCATGTACCAATAATTTATTTTATTTTAAAAGTCTTCCCTGATTTATTTCTGATCCCCAAGATACCACTTTGTGAGTTGAAGTCTTTTCTGTTAGGAAGTAAGTTGAAGGTAATGGTAGCAAGTTCTTGGGGCTCTCTTACGGTGAAGATTCCATATAAATTGAATGGTAATTCAGCATTTTGGGAAGGGAACAGTTCAATCAACTGTGGGCACTACACAAGAATTTGTAGTGCCTTTATACATCTCTCTCTCAAAACAAATGGAGCTTTATAGTCACTGATAGTAAAGCAAAACAAAAATACAGGAAATAGGAAAATAACAAAAGCCTTTGGGCTCTTTCTCCTTCTTGCATTTCTGATATGGAAGGGTCTGACAAACAAGCTGGCTCATGGATATTAAGATGAAGGCATAGGTTTGAATCTTTAGTTCTGTAGATAGGTTTAAATTTACCTAGTGTGAGTAGTCTCTCTGATTTTTAGGTTGAATGCTTTGGCAGGGGGCCTGGGATAAATGTTAAACAGGGTTTATGTTTGCAGGGCATAGAAACTTAAATGCTGCTTTCTTCATTAATGTGGGTAAAATGCTTAATGGCTGCGAAGGGAGTACTGATGAATGCTATTGCTCTTCTGCGCTTTTTTACTGGAGATATTTCAGGCTGAAGAACTTGCCAAAGAGGGCAGGAGATAAAACACATGGCTGTAGTAGAGCTTAGCTGAAGAAGGGTAAAAGAGCAGGTGGTGAACTAAGCAACAACGATTTTCAGCTCCATTGGTTTTTAAAGGAACGCTTGCAGGTCAGCCTCCTTTGGGTAGCATTTTATTCAATCACTACTTCTGGGAAACGCACTAGAGGCATCTCAAGAGACATTTTAGAATGGTTAGAGCTCTTCCCAACCAAAGTCCCTCAGTGCCTGTAAGCTTTTGTTACGAAAACTGAGATGTCAGATAATTCTCCTGAGTGAGTAAGGGCTCTTTGTTAAAAGATCACAAGAAAATCATCTATTTATGTAGAAATTATTGTTATGTGTGGTTGTTGATTTTGAAACATAATATTTCATATTGAAAACAGTGTCATCTGTGTCTTATGATTGCAAGTCTTTTTAGTTCCTTTTCTGGAGCTTATCACTGACATTGAACTCTTATCAATGAATATGATAGCTCTTTCTTAAAGATGTTCAAGAATTTTTGTTAAAGATTTGTCTTACCTTGTTTCCAAGACAATCTGTTAGCTTTTAAATGTGCATCATGAATGTATGTTATCTAGTATACGCACTGATTAATAGGTTTTTAACTATTAATTGTGTTGAGTGGAGTTTTAGGTTCTGGGTTTCCAGTCCTTTTCTAATGACCTTTTCTCAGGTAAATGGCCCTCTCTTAAAGGGAGCATGAAGTTATAATAGTAGCACATTTTTGTTGGCTGTTACCAAACTAAATGATACTACAGTATGTAAATAAGGGGGTAGAGAAGCTGGGGTTTATGGTTAAGCTGGTCTAGTTGAAGCCTAAAGAAAAACAACATATGTTTTAGTATTTGCCTTTCCTGACCTGGGTTAAATAATTTTGTTCATCTTAGTGCAAGTTGTGGAAAAATTCTAGGTAGCTGAGGTTCCAAAGTCACAGCTTTATGTCCTAATCGCATGGAGACAGCTTGCTGCCTTGCAGAACAGGCAAACAGCCAAACTAACAGGTCACATTCTTGAACTGAAGTTAAATATGCTTACACCTGGGGATCTGGCTGCCTGAACAAAAAGGCTGCTTCATTTACAAAGATGCTGATGACTTCACTTTGCAACAAACATCAACTGTAAAATGAAAGAAAGAAATTTCCACCTGGGACATGTGTTTTTCACTGAGCATAAGAACACAGACATGCTGGGCAAAACTGAAAGAGGGCAAGCATGGATGGGTTATCAGCACACGTACATTAAGCACCAGTAACTCATTGGTGCTAGCTATTAGTCAAATTCATAGCAACTTGTTAATCATAGATTCATAGATGGCAAGTATATTCTGTTGTGAGGATAAACTTTTAGAAAAGGAAATAACACTCAAGACTATAATTTATAAATAGGTATAGAGAAAAATACACTTTTAAAATATTATTTTATGTTAACCAGTTACATTTTCTTGCATCTTGTTCATACTACCTGATGGTACTACTGTTCAGTGGTAACTATTTAGCATAATAATCCTGGTGTCTTATCTCATATTCCCCATTGGACAGTGTTCCTGTTATCCTGTTATTATTTCCTAGCAATCCCAGGAAATGTAATTCTGCTGAGGAAAGGGTGGTGAGCTCCTGCATTGCTGAGTTTCTTTCTCATTATTTCAAGTTTCTTGTGGTCTCTGTCCACATTCTTGCACAAGGCACTTAGGGATGTGCTTAAATCTGCTGCCACAGCAGGCACTGTTTACAAATCAGGTCATTCTTTGCTAATGGAGTTCTGCTAGCAGAACTGGCATCTGACAGCAGTTAAGTAGGAAGACAACTAAAGGAAAAGAATTAGAACCGATTGTGTATGCTCTTTTTCTGACATTTTTTGGCTGGACAGGGTGCTGGGCCATCTAATCTAGATCAGTTCCAGATTGGACAGAGCCTTGAGCAACATGGTTTTGTGTGAGGCATCCCTGCCTATGACAGGAGGATTGAAACTAGATGATAAGGTCCTTTCCAACCCAAACCATTCTATAATACTGTGGTTTGCTAAGAAAGGTTGGACCAAATGATCCTGGAGGTCCCTTCCAACCTGGCATTCTATGATTCTATTTTGGGTTTACTTTTTCTATTTGCTGGTTACTTTAACTTTGGGCACCTCTGTATTCCTATAATTACTGATACTCTTCTGTTTCAGAGTTCACTTTGCAGACTGGGCACTAGTCAGTTATTGGAAGGTCATTTGGGATGAATTTTTTTTATGCATTTTATGAGGGTGAACCACAACACCCACAAACTAGCAATTAAGAGATCCACACAGCTATGGGATTATCCAGCTTCTGTGGTTTACCTGTCCTGCCCTACAGAGGCCAAGAAAGTAGAGATGCTGTTTTGAAGGGTTGCATATTGTTTCCTTTCTTTGAGTACGTGAGGGAGAATTTAGCCAAACTCTTTAACAGAAAACATTTCACTGCAATACTTCAGTCATGTACACAAAGTTTTGTACAGTTTTAACATTTCCACATTGTATGTTTATGAGAGAAATCTAGTGACCTCTCCTTCATGGATTGTTCTGAAGTAACCATTTTTCCTGGAGGCAAGACAAAGAACTAATGAACCGTTTTTCCAGAGGACTTGCACTTCCATGTTTTCTGAAAGCTTTGCTCTTCAGAGGCCTTGGTGTTGACACACAGCTTGTTTTTGAAAGTGACTGCCCTTCCACTGCTCCTTTTTATTTCAGGCTTCACACCTGTAGGTTGCTAGCTTTAGTCTGATCAGCCTGAAATGTGCACAAGTGTTTTAGGGCAGGTGTTGTACTGAAAGGTTACTCCTTCTGGAAGCCTATCTGTTCATCCAGCCCAGTGACAGTAATACATCAGCAGATCCATACTGCCATATCCTGATGGTTATCTGTGTCTTTTGACTACCTCCTTCATAAACAGCATATTGATGGCAGTAACTAGTGTTCAGACCTTGCCAATCAATACTAACATTGAATAAGAGTTAATTGACACAAATAGCTGCACCTCTCAGGTTGTGTACAAGGATGACACCTTCCTGTCCTCTAATCAATAATAACTCCTTGTAGAGCACTGAAATAAAGCTGCTTTCTCTATTTGACAGAGTTCTCCCAGATGACTCAGAGCTGTCTTTTCCATTGTGTCTTACCATAGCAGAATAACTGGAATGTTACGTTTGAATTGCCTGTCAAGATGATTCCATCAGGCATTTCTTGGTAGTGTTTATCACTGTCATCAGTACTGAGTCGAAATATTCAGCCTTTGTTTTGTCTCTTGTTCCATAGCTCGAAATGGTACAGTTTACCAGGTGGAAGCTTTGTTACCAGCTAATGCCATTAGGCTATTTCAGACAGTAATTGGTAAACATGAATCTTGTCACATCAAACTAGAGCCAAAAGATTCAGCAAATACAGGTTATTTTTGTTATCTTTGACAATTTCTGTACATGAAGTACAAAACAGGTCTTTTCATTATTCAACAGAACTCAAGCTCTTGAGATGCTGCTTGAGTAATCATTGCTTCAAAGCCTTATTTTGGTTGGAAAACTTGGAGAGTTGAGAGGAAAACTACTGTAATACCACTTTGATCATTCCTATCTTTAGACTTGATGATCTTAAAGTCTTTTCCAACCTAAATGATTCTATGATTCTGTCCTTAACAAAAATTAGTTTTGTTAATTTTTAATATTACAAAATGGGGAAATGCAGAATGATCCTATCAAGCTTCTTAATCATGAATGCATTTTTAATGACCATTTTAAATATAATTGGGGGGAATTTATTAACAGAATGTGAATTTCAGCAATGGGAAGTACAAATGCTTTTCTTTTCCCACTTTTTAACACCTTTTTGGTAACTAGATACTTGCCCAAAGAAATGAAAAATGTAAAAAAAAAAAACTTGGATGTGAATTTGTTGCCATGTTTTTAACTTTTAAGCAGCCTTCCACATTCACCAGTGCCTGTAGGTGTGTTATCGATGACAGGGCAGCTTCACTCGTGATCTGAATTTACACAAGGCTGTATAGAAGAGAAGCCTAGAGCAAGAAGGAAGTAAACACAGGGAGGCACTTGCCCCTCGATACTTCTGTTGGATGGTGCCATGTGTCTGAACAAAATGAATGCAGCTGCCCTTTTTGAGTGCCCACATAGCCATAGCTTCACTTTTAGCTGTGACTGCCATGGAATTGCTTGTCTTGAGCACTGCAAGTCATGCCTAAATTCAGCGATAGCAACTCACACATGAATTGTTTTAAGTCACATTAACATTTGACTTAAAGATCTGTTTTACTACAAAGTTCAGCCAAATGGGTCAGCAGGTATAAAACGCAGCAGTGATTTTGTTGAGCACCCATGTGGTTCTTTATTCAAACCTACTTTTCTTGCTCTTATATCTGCACTGGCTCCCATTCTGTAGTTGTAATTCTGGTTTTCCATTTTTAAATCAAGTATCATCAGAGGATTTTCTCCAGTATCATACAAAATCCATATTAGCTTGTACAGCAAATCTGGATCTGGAGCCAACAGGGGAAGCTAAGGGTGTAAGAAGGCTCATATTTTCATAAGCACATGTGCAGGGCCTGATAACTTCCCAGTGGGTATGAGTGAGAGGGGAGTCCTCACAGCAGCCAGGACTATTTGTGAGCTAATTTAAAGAATTAGCTTCTGTTCAGTTTTCCCCATCCCTCTTTTATATCAAAAAAAGAGACATATTGGGGATTCTGCAGTTCCTCTGTTACAGGATAAGGTGAGAGAGAGAGAGAGAAGCTTGAAAGTTGTGAATTGCTCATCTACAGCTGTAAATGGTACATCATAACTAGGTGTATTAAGTCTTTTAATGGTAGACTTAAATCAAAATTCAGCAGTTACAATTCTGCTTATTTTCACTTTGAAATGTTCTGATATTTTTTATTTTCTTATTATTTTTCAGGTTAACAAACAGAAACATTATTCACAAAATGCCTGAATGGACTCTAATTGCTATTGTTTTGTTATCTGTGTAAGTACCATTTAATGTCAAACATTCTCATATGTAGCTGCTTTAGGCTATCAAGACAAGATGTAAGTTTCAGATAAAAGGAGGGAAACTTTCCTTTAAGTGGGGAATCAACAGAAATGTTTTTTCATGTAAATGAACTGTATTTTCTCTTGACAAACTAGGTTTGTCCCACTTGCAACAGCACCTTAACACTGAACAAACTTAGTGTCATGTTAAAAAACAGTTAAGCTTTAGTGGTTTTTAAAGAGGTTCTGGTGGGGTGAAGGAGTGTTCTTCACTCTCCCATTTGCTGCTGACAGATATTCTTCTCTGTTACAGTAGGACAAACTGACATGTATTATTTGGATTGTATTGTATTACTTGGAGTTGGCATAACTGTTACGCTTTTAGTTTCTCATTTTACTTAATTTCTTAAAAGATTTTACTTTCACAAATTAAAGGCAAATTATTTCCATAATATGGAAATACTATTTCCATTTTTGCTTCTGCGTATGTTTGTTTGAATATTTTAGCAAACTTAGAGAGGAAAGTTTGTTGTTTGTTTTTTTTAACAACTCCCAAATATCTGAAAGGAATATGGGGACCCAGTGTTTTATTTCTGTAAGGATTAGCTTTATTGCTTAAGATTATGATACTACAGTGCCTATAGTCCTCCTTAGCTTTATTCTGTTACTGTAGAAATAAATTCTTTCCAAGGGTTTTCCTAACAGGAAGTCTGATTTTATTATAGTGTCTTTCAGTCAATGTCTATATAGAGATATGATATATAAAAGCTATAGTTATATGCATTAAGTAACTTCCTTAATTTATATTTTCCAAATTCATTCACTTTTCTGAAGTTAAAGATATAAACTGGTATAAACCAGACAGTTTTCTCACAAATCCATTTTAAACATTTAACATGAGTTCACCTTTTAAGCAATCACTGGTGGTTTCACACAGTGTCAGGCCCTGGCTTTCAGTAGGGTTAAACCATCAAGCAATCTTTGTATGTCTTTCAGCTTGAATTACAAGATTGCAAAAATCTTTATTCAGAGGCTGGTTATTACCACACTGCTGCTGCTGCTTTTGGGCTTTGTGGGTCACTGGAGCCTGTAGGACAGAGACATACTCTACAGACATTCACAGGTCAAGAAGAGTTGTGGGCCAACCTCATAGCATCCCCAGTACTGCACTTACTTTCCTTGATATTACTTCAGTCTGACACATTGTTCTGGCTTTACTGTCCCAAGGAAGACTATACCAGCAGGCATTAGAGCAGGCTTCAGCGAGCCTTACATCTGTGTCACCCAGCCGGATACCGCTCAAATGATTCATTAAATCAGAACACAGAAAGTAACTTTACTTGAATGCCTTGGCATGAATTTTTTATCAACTATAAGAACAAATCTTTTGTCATTTTTACCATATATTCTTATGGTTGAATTGGTAATTTGTGAAACAGATCTTATGAATTTTTCAAGTAGTCTCTGTACAGTTAAGGAAATGGTGACTCTTTTGGTCAGAAGTTGAAATATCTTGCTGGTGTCTCTGCAAATGATGAGCTCTAAATGTTTACATACCTAATGACTGCTTTACAATTGCTTTAAAATGTTCTACAAGTAGCAGGCGGTCATGGTTCTCGGCTTACACTGATTACTCTCAAGGGCCCAACCCTAAACAAGTGGATTGTATTTGATCCTAAAATAGAGTAGATTTTGTTGTCGTTCTAGTGAAATCATCAATAAAACTCCTGTTGACTTCAGCTTTTGTAAGGTCCGGGAAAGCTCATGAACTTGAGATTTTGAACAACTCTCAGCCACTTCTTAAGAAAGGATGTGCAAGAATGTAGGTGGGGTAAGAGTGAGTGTTAAGATTGCTCTAAGAAGATGATGAGTATTGCATCATTTCTGGAAAGATTAAAACAGAGCATGTAACTACTTGGGAATTCTAATCAAACTTGAATATTTAGTGGAAGTTAGAAGTGTGCAGGGAAAGGCTACTGAGGATCTGGGCAACCCTTTGCAGACAGGTCCTCAGACTGTGGCCCTTATCTCCTGTAGTCTGCCAACAAACCTGTCATATCTTACTAATGTTGTTCATAAAAAGAATTATATTCTGTTAAAGTTTTCTCTGGCTTCCCCTTAGCTATACTGAGAGTGTGTGCACTATGCTGCTTATTTCCTTATGGGTAATTTCATGTAAATTTTGAGGTGCTGGAGTGTGTTCAGAGAAGGGCAACAAAGCTGGTGAAGGGTCTGGAGCACAAGTCTGAAGAGGAATGGCTGAGGGAAGTAGGGATATTTAGCCTGGAGGAGAGGCTGCTAAAGGAGACCTTATTGGACCGCCTGAAAGGAGGTTGGCTGAGAAGACTGGTACCCAGATTGCTACAAGTAACAAGCTGTAGGACAGGAGGAAACCGCATCTGTTTGCACTGGGGAGGTTTAGATCAGATCTTGGGAAAAATTCCTTAACTAAGACTATTGAGCAGTGAACAGGCTGCCCAGGCAAGTGATGGAGTCACCATTCCTGGAGGGATTTAAAAGATGTGTAGGTGTAGCACTTAGGGATATGGTTTATTGGTGGCCTTGACAGTGCTAGATTAACAGTGGGACTCAAAGGTCCTTTTTAACCTAAATGATTCTGTGACTCTTTACTGCCTGTTGCAGCACGTGTAAAGTTGTTTAAATGGCAGAATTGTATGGGGCCTGAGTTGGAGATGGCTCTTTACTAGCTTCTGTTACTGAAAGAGGAGAACATTTTCAGAATGTGTATTCATAGGCCTTGACCTCATCTGAGACACAGGATGAACATTTTACTGCTAACACTAAACAGTGAAGTAACGTAAGTAACACCCTGGAAGAGGGTAACACTTCCAGGAGGATGAAAGAGCTTATTACTGGTACCAGAGGTATAAGAACAGAGACTACCAAAGGCAGAGCAAGAATGGGATTTCAGGGTGTACCTCCAAAGAAACTGAAGACCTCAACTGTTTTTTTTGTTTGTATGGAAGGGGCAGCATTGTTTTGTTTAAAGTAGCAACTGTTGGGCTTCGCTTGCACCCCATTTTGTGAATTGATATTGTGGCTCGCCACTTCCTCCTTGTACATGGCATCTGCTAAGCACTCAGTGTACTTCACAGTGCACTTTGAGTGCCCTCACCCTTTTTTGTGGTATGTTACTGGACAGAATAACCATTATCATTACTGCTGTATTGAATTCAAGTGTCATCACTGTTGAATATTTTGTATCACATTATGATTATGCTGTCTTCCTTTCATGGGAGTGTGCATATTAATTCTTTGTAGGATACAGCATGTTGAATAGTCATAACACCTAATTTTGGTGCTTAAGTTAGACCTAAGCTTCCTCTATAGTCTGCTGGTCCTCAGGAAGCTATTAAAAGTAGTTACATGCCCTTGAGTTTACTGACTCAAGAAAGCAGGGCTCCTAATTCTTTGCTTTGAAATAAAGTGCTTGAAACTAGACAGTGGGACTGTCTTTCTCAAAGTAGAAAGCGTTGGAGATCACAACAGTGGAGCATTCCCTGTTCCTAGTGAACAGCTGGATTTATTCAATCAAGTTATCATGTAAAATATGAACAGCTAGTCTCAGCCTTTATTGAAAATCTAGCCTGAGGCACTCCTGGCTTTATAACCAGCATATCCAGCAATGCTTCCTACAGTCACTTTGACAGCCAGAGAATTACGTTCAAATAATTGCATTCATGCTCATCGTGGAGTGGGTGCCTCTTTAAAATTACCTGTAGGTGAAATGTCTTTATTTATTTGTCATTTGAAATAACGTTGACAGTGGTAGCTTTCTATGTCTTCCTGCTGCAGTGTGTAGGATTTTTTTGTTACAGTAATAGCTGCTGTATAATGCACTGTAAACTAGAATACAGAAGTTGCATCTTTTCCCCCCCGATAAATAGATACAAATACAGAGGTTCAAGAAAGCAGTGGAAGATTGGTTGCTATATAAGCAAGGGCACTTGCTGTTTTCAGTGTATACCCCTGGTACAGTCTAATGGAAAGCTTTCAAGATATTTTCAGGAAATGTCTGCTTTCATCTTACTTATCTGGGCTGGCTGGTTCCAGTGAACTGTAGTCAGCTGCATCTACCCAGCCAATGCAAGAGGTTCCCCCCGCTAAAAGCTTTGAAGCATTTCAAAATGTTCTGGGATTAGTTTATAAGCATTCGGCTGCAGTATTTAAACAAACTCAAAATGACCATGATCACTAAACAAAAGCCATCATTATATGTGTGCAACCACTTTAGATAAATGTGTCATGCGGAGATGGACTCTAGAGGTTTACTCTCTTGGAGATAACAGTTCAGGAACTGGAGAATCTTGGGTTCAAGAATGCATTTTTACCTCTTTGCACACAAGAGCACATCTATTGCTTCAGCACTAACATGTCTAAATTAGTTTAAGAGGAGTTCAGATGTTTGGGATATTGCTGCTGTGTTCTGATCTGAAAATGTCTGAATGTATGAAATGCGCAAATCCAATGTACAAATAACATACTGGATCTTAATCAGACTTGCAGAGTGACTCCTATAGAAACCACATACAAGTCAGCTGGATGATCTTTTATATAGCAAGTTTGGTGATACAAGATTGGGTCCAGGTTTTAGCTGAGAAAAATCATTTATTGTTAAGCTAGAAATATAGCAATTGCCCATTTTGAAACGGAGTTTACAGGACTAAAAAAAAATCTTTGTTTTATAAGTGTTTGAATGGTCGTAGTATTGTCCCTGTTTGTAGAGTTATATTATAGTGTGAAATAGCAAAAAGGCAACTTTTGTCTTAACACATTAAAGAATTTAGAAGTATATTATTCCATTTTTCTGTCTTAATTTTAGGTTGTCATTTGGTGAGTGTGAACTCAAATGGGTTTTCTGTTAAGCAGTTTTTACGTATCAGCGCTTTCTAAACACACTCAAATCTGCATATATGGTGTGTTGTGGAGATCAGTATTACTTTACTTCCTCCTAGCATGTTCCATGTACTACTTAGAAAACATATATACAACAGTATTCTGAAGGATTTGCCATGTTGCTAATTGGAATTAATTGCTGGTAACTTTAATTACGTATCTTCGTCATTCACAAGGGAGAAAGTAGAAGAAGAAACCTTAGCGGTTTCAAAGAAGGTGTTTCTCCTTGCACAAAAAGAAACACAACTGTGGTTTTTTGAGTGTTGCTGTAGTGCTGTTATGCAGGGAAGTGACACTGTGGATTTCACTGCAGCATATGCAGCTGCAGGTTTTTCCAGTCTCGTATTTCTCGTGGATCTGCACGTTCTGCATGTTCCCAGCAGTGTATGTGGGCATTCAGACTGAAGTTGTACAGAGCTGGTGTGCAAAGGGATCACTAGTTATAAACTGTCCTTCATGGTGGTGGTGTTCTGACTAATTTTTGTTAGAATCTACAAATACATTTGTGTGTACATAATGTTGAATCTTCTGCTTTAGTCACCCTTGTGAACTTTGTATTCCAAATGCGCTTGTGAGTTAAGATTCTGGTAGCAGGGAAAGTACTTTCCTCTGCCACTTGATTTTAGCCTTTTGTGTGAGTAAACAAGAGATTTTTGTTGCAACTTCTGTTTCAGCCCTCAGAAGGATAGCATGCTAGGTTTCAGAAGACTGCTTTATCACATTGACTCTGGGAGAAGCTAACTCAGGCAATGAAGTTCTCTTCCAGTTGAACTCTGTGCCACAGTTATGATCAAGCAGATAGAAGAATTGCCCAGCCCTATGGGATAACTGGTTTAAACTTATGGTTCTTGACAAGGTGTATCTTTAGAAGATTTCTTTGGTAATGTCTGAGTTTTCCTCCTTCCATAGTTGCTGCTTATACCTTTGCTCATTGGAAGTCATGTCATAGCACAGAGTAAGTTGTACAGTTACACAGTAATACAGAAAGCTGAAAGTAAGATGTGAGTAATCCACACTCTTAACAGCTGCACTAAATGTACTTTTAAACTAAATGTATTTTACCTTCATCCACTGAGCAAACTGAACTGTTCATTTTGCAACTGAATCCTGAAGCTGTAGCCCTATGAAAATATACTCACTTCCTTATTAATAATTAATCTTAATACATTCAATGCAAACATTTTTTTATCATGAAGCATTACCCACCTGTTAAAAGAAAAACACGACTTTGACACACACTTGCATCTTTCATTTTCAGAGTTCTAACTTAGTAAACTTTCTAAAGAACAGCCTACATTAATGCAGGTATGACACATACACAGTGTTTTTTTACTTACAGGAAACTTCATTTTAAGATGAAAATCAGTGTTGATTTGGCTTGTTATTTCTGGTACACATCATTGGAAAGGTTGTTATGGCTTCCTAGCATGCGATCCCCAGGTATTTTGTACCAACAGAATTTTTAGCATGAGTTCTGGATTAATTTGGTTGGTTCTATGCAGAGTCAGAATGGCACCTCTACTAGATTAAGTGGTGTGTCCTGTTCTTCTTTAGCACTGAAACGAATTGTGCCAAAGTAGAAATATTGTATTCCTTAACTTTTCTGGAACCACTACAACAGGAAAACTGTGACTGTAGAAAACCCCTGAAAGAGCAGTTATCTTGTGAAGACCTAATCATTCCTCTCTTTAAGGTTTCCGTTGCAAAGAAAGTTTGTTCTACTACTTGTTAGTTTGTTACTTCTTGAGATATGAAACATTTTGGCACCCTGTGGTCTGGTGTAGTCTGGAAATTAAGTTCTGAGCCTGATGTGGAATGTTAC